ATTTCCATCCGAGCGGAGGGAGTTATGTCGTTTTGGAACGTCATATCTTCGCGCGGAGTTATGTCGTTTTGGAACGTCATATCTCCCCGCGGAGCTATTTCCATCCGAGCGGAGGGAGTTATGTCGTTTTGGAACGTCATATCTTCGCGCGGAGTTATGTCGTTTTGGAACGTCATATCTCCCCGCGGAGCTATTACCCATCATACCGCGCGGAATTATGTCGTTTTGGAACGTCATATCTCCCCGCGGAGCTATTACCCATCATACCGTGCGGAGTTATGTCGTTTTGGAACGTCATATCTCCCCGCGGAGCTATTTCCATCCGAGCGGAGGGAGTTATGTCGTTTTGGAACGTCATATCTCCCCGCGGAGCTATTACCCATCATACCGTGCGGAGTTATGTCGTTTTGGAACGTCATATCTCCCCGCGGAGCTATTTCCATCCGAGCGGAAGGAGTTATGTCGTTTTGGAACGTCATATCTCCCCGCGGAGCTATTACCCATCATACTGCCTGGAGTTATGTCGTTTTGGAACGTCATATCTCCCCGCGGAGCTATTACCTATCATACCGCGTGGAGCTATGTCGTTTTGGAACGTCATATCTCCCCGCGGAGCTATTTCCATCCGAGCGGAGGGAGTTATGTCGTTTTGGAACGTCATATCTTCGCGCGGAGTTATGTTGTTTTGGAACGTCATATCTCCCCGCGGAGCTATTTCCATCCGAGCGGAGGGAGTTATGTCGTTTTGGAACGTCATATCTCCCCGCGGAGCTATTTCCATCCGAGCGGAAGGAGTTATGTCGTTTTGGAACGTCATATCTCCCCGCGGAGCTATTACCCATCATACCGCCTGGAGTTATGTCGTTTTGGAACGTAATATCTCCCCGCGGAGCTATTACCTATCATACCGCGTGGAGCTATGTCGTTTTGGAACGTCATATCTGCCCGCGGAGTTATGTCGTTTTGGAACGTCATATCTCCCCGCGGAGCTATTTCCATCCGAGCGGATGGAGTTATGTCGTTTTGGAACGTCATATCTCCCCGCGGAGCTATTTCCATCCGAGCGGAAGGAGTTATGTCGTTTTGGAACGTCATATCTCCCCGCGGAGCTATTACCCATCATACCGCCTGGAGTTATGTCGTTTTGGAACGTCATATCTCCCCGCGGAGCTATTACCTATCATACCGCGTGGAGCTATGTCGTTTTGGAACGTCATATCTCCCCGCGGAGCTATTTCCATCCGAGCGGAGGGAGTTATGTCGTTTTGGAACGTCATATCTTCGCGCGGAGTTATGTCGTTTTGGAACGTCATATCTCCCCGCGGAGCTATTTCCATCCGAGCGGAGGGAGTTATGTCGTTTTGAAACGTCATATCTTCGCGCGGAGTTATGTCGTTTTGGAACGTCATATCTCCCCGCGGAGCTATTACCCATCATACCGCGCGGAGTTATGTCGTTTTGGAACGTCATATCTCCCCGCGGAGCTATTACCCATCATACCGCCTGGAGTTATGTCGTTTTGGAACGTCATATCTCCCCGCGTAGCTATTTCCATCCGAGCGGAAGTAGTTATGTCGTTTTGGAACGTCATATCTCCCCGCGGAGCTATTTCCATCCGAGCGGAAGGAGTTATGTCGTTTTGGAACGTCATATTTCCCCGCGGAGCTATTACCCATCATACCGCCTGGAGTTATGTCGTTTTGGAACGTCATATCTCCCCGCGTAGCTATTTCCATCCGAGCGGAAGTAGTTATGTCGTTTTGGAACGTCATATCTCCCCGCGGAGCTATTTCCATCCGAGCGGAGGGAGTTATGTCGTTTTGGAACGTCATATCTTCGCGCGGAGTTATGTCGTTTTGGAACGTCATATCTCCCCGCGGAGCTATTTCCATCCGAGCGGAGGGAGTTATGTCGTTTTGGAACGTCATATCTCCCCGCGGAGCTATTACCCATCATACCGCCTGGAGTAATGTCGTTTTGGAACGTCATATCTCCCTGCGGAGCTATTTCCATCCGAGCGGAGGGAGTTATGTCGTTTTGGAACGTCATATCTCCCCGCGGAGCTATTACCCATCATACCGTGCGGAGTTATGTCCTTTTGGAACGTCATATCTCCCCGCGGAGCTATTTCCATCCGAGCGGAGGGAGTTATGTCGTTTTGGAACGTCATATCTTCCCGCGGAGCTATTACCCATCATACCGTGCGGAGTTACGCGTTTTGGAACGTCATATCTCCCCGCGGAGCTATTTCCATCCGAGCGGAGGGAGTTATGTCGTTTTGGAACGTCATATCTTCGCGCGGAGTTATGTCGTTTTTGAACGTCATATCTCCCCGCGGAGCTATTTCCATCCGAGCGGAGGGAGTTATGTCGTTGTGGAACGTCATATCTCTTCGCGGAGCTATTACAAATCATACCCGCGGAGCTATTACCCATCATATCGTGCGGAGTTATGTCGTTTTGGAACGTCATATCTCCCCGCGGAGCTATTTCCATCCGAGCGGAGGGAGTTATGTCGTTTTGGAACGTCATATCTCCCCGCGGAGCTATTTCCATCCGAGCGGAAGGAGTTATGTCGTTTTGGAACGTCATATCTCCCCGCGGAGCTATTACCCATCATACCGCGCGGAGTTATGTCGTTTTGGAACGTCATATCTCCCCGCGGAGCTATTACCCATCATACCGTGCGGAGTTATGTCGTTTTGGAACGTCATATCTCCCCGCGGAGCTATTTCCATCCGAGCGGAGGGAGTTATGTCGTTTTGGAACGTCATATCTTCGCGCGGAGTTATGTCGTTTTGGAACGTCATATCTCCCCGCGGAGCTATTTCCACCCGAACGGAGGGAGTTATGTCGTTGTGGAACGTCATATCTCTTCGCGGAGCTATTACAAATCATACCGCGCAGAGTTATGTCGTTTTGGAACGTCATATCTCCCCGCGGAGCTATTACCTATCATACCGCGTGGAGTTATGTCGTTTTGGAACGTCATATCTCCCCGCGGAGCTATTTCCATCCGAGCGATGGGAGTTATGTCGTTTTGGAACGTCATATCTTCGCGCGGAGTTATGTCGTTTTGGAACGTCATATCTCCCCGCGTAGCTATTTCCATCCGAGCGGAAGTAGCTATGTCGTTTTGGAACGTCATATCTCCCCGCGGAGCTATTACCTATCATACCGCGTGGAGCTATGTCGTTTTGGAACGTCATATCTCCCCGCGGAGCTATTTCCATCCGAGCGGAGGGAGTTATGTCGTTTTGGAACGTCATATCTTCGCGCGGAGTTATGTCGTTTTGGAACGTCATATCTCCCCGCGGAGCTATTACCCATCATATCGTGCGGAGTTATGTCGTTTTGGAACGTCATATCTCCCCGCGGAGCTATTTCCATCCGAGCGAAGGGAGTTATGTCGTTTTGGAACGTCATATCTTCGCGCGGAGTTATGTCGTTTTGGAACGTCATATCTCCCCGCGTAACTATTTCCATCCGAGCGGAAGTAGCTATGTCGTTTTGGAACGTCATATCTCCCCGCGGAGCTATTATCCATCATACCGCCTGGAGTTATGTCGTTTTGGAACGTCATATCTCCCCGCGGAGCTATTACCCATCATACCGCCTGGAGTAATGTCGTTTTGGAACGTCATATCTCCCCGCGGAGCTATTTCCATCCGAGCGGAGGGAGTTATGTCGTTTTGGAACGTCATATCTCCCCGCGGAGCTATTATTCATCATACCGCCTGGAGTTATGTCGTTTTGGAACGTCATATCTCCCCGCGGAGCTATTACCCATCATACCGCCTGGAGTTATGTCGTTTTGGAACGTCATATCTCCCCGCGGAGCTATTACCCATCATACCGCCTGGAGTTATTTCGTTTTGGAACGTCATATCTCCCCGCGGAGCTGTTATCAACCATACCGCGCGGAACTATGTCGTTTTGGAACGTCATATCTCCCCGCGGAGCTATTACCCATCATACCGCCTGAAGTTATGTCGTTTTGGAACGTCATATCTCCCCGCGGAGCTATTACCCATCATACCGCCTGGAGTTATGTCGTTTTGGAACGTCATATCTCGCCGCGGAGCTATTACCCATCATACCGCCTGGAGTTATGTCGTTTTGGAACGTCATATCTCCCCGCGGAGCTGTCATCCACCATACCGCGCGGAGCTATGTCGTTTTGGAACGTCATTTTCCAAAAGAACCAACAATAGCCGTGATAAAAGCACACCACAAATTCTGTCCTTCCATTTTTGTTTCAGGCAACAGCCTATGATCTTAATTTATACACCTTTTTAACTAATTGTTGTGCTTTCTAAGCACTGCTATGCCTTTAATTAGCTTTCAAGCATGCAAGCAGATCGGCAGATTTTCATCATTTTTCATTTTTCGATTTTTAACTATTTATAAGTGATGTAACCAAATAGCACAAACTTTCTTTTATATACATTCTAATTCAATGACTATGAAAAATATAATTTTGTATATAGTGTGCAACTATTAGTACAATTAATAAGCGTTTTCTTTAAAAATTAAATACCATTCTTTAAAAAAAAGCGTATCAATGCCTCGACGCGCCAAGTAGTTGTTGTACGTGTGTCTCATCTGACAAATATTGGTGCAAATCTGCATATGCATATGTATGTCTCTTTATTACTCAATGACTTAATGGAATCGAGGTGCTCCGTCTGTCCTGAGTTGCGTGCAAAGATTGGGTTAGCTTCGAGCACTAACCATACAACATATGTTGCAGGGGTAACCAATTTGGTTAAATAGATGGAACTTAAAGGTTAACGTTCCACATCGATTAAAAGAAGTAAATTATTTGATTTTAACAATAGTTAGTGGATATTGAAACGCGTAGATGCTGATGTATCTCTATAGCTCGAACTAGAATTTTGTGCATTTTGTGAAATTCAAAATTAGTGTAAACAAATTTATCATGGACAAATAACTCAAATGTATGATTTCTGCGACAGGTATAATGAATAAAAAACCTACCTTTTTCGACACACTCAGTAGCACAATCGCGCACAGTCGATAACTCGCTCACGTATTTCTGAAAATGCAAACAGAGAAACGACGCATAAATTAATGCCAATTTCAGGAATTTTGCAATTTGTAAATATTTAATAAGATCATACATAAAATTGAATGAAGCTCATGAGCCATACAGCTTTTATTCATACCAGCTGCTTGTTAACCATCTTGATATGAATTAGCCACAACGAATTATGTATCCAAAATATACCCAACAATTGAATACAAACCCCATTGAACTGGATTGGTCGATGTATTTTGGAATTATTCGGTTATTTATAAAACTGTACGACGACTTTTAAACTTTAACTAAAGGTTTCAAAATTAATTATTTTTTGGATCTGTTACCGAATCTACTTTTTGGATACATAAATCGGCGTTCTGCAGTTTCTATCAAGTCTCGATATCGATCTTGCGATTCCTTAAAGCTTTCAAATTAAAATTAATATTTCTGCAACTATAAAAAGATGAACTAAGGAAATATGATTTCTTTCTTAAGTTTATTAATCATAATGGGAATTAAATTTATTTCATAAATTTAATTGCATTTGCTGAGAAACTTTAGTGTCGAGTAGTCCCCACTAAAGCACTATATATATTTTCTTTTGTGTGCGCCTTTTAGAATTTTGCAGAATCGATTTGAAAGTAATTATCAAAATTAGTGCAAAACAAAACAAAATATAAACAATAAGAGTTTTACTTGTTCATGACCAACGATTATTGTATTAAACATTGTAATTTAAGCCCGTAAAACACAGCTTTAAGCCCGTCAAATAAACTTATTTGTGTATGTTTCGATATACATATTGCATTTCGGTATGTGTTATTAATTATACCCTTGTAAAGGGAGCAATAATTTGTCATTATATATGTGCCGAATAGAGGGCAGACATAAATATTCTTGTCTGTCGCCACCAGCCGAGTCGATGTAGAAATGTTTGTAAATCCCTTAACATCCAAACTAGTCTATGAGTTTAAAGTCTATCGTCTTGAAACGCTGCATAGATCGGACTTTCTGATGCAAGCAATACATTCAGATCGGGCCAACTTATTATATATGTAGATACCATGCGAACAAATATTTAGTTATTTTATGAAAAACTTTACATATGCACATCAGCCGTATCATCATCGAACTCAATGTCAGATAGCTCTATAAGAAGAATCAATCGATCTAATTCAGTAATTTTTAATTGGAGCTTGTTAAAGGAATTCGTATTGTAAACGTTTTCCTTTTTTACCCAGATCAACATCGAGAAAACAGTGCACCTGCGTCTAGTAAGCCCACATTAAATTGCCCAAAGCTATACGACAAGCTAGACAAAAACGTGTTCACCGCAGGCTGAAAGCGTAGCTCAGCTTGCAGCACTTAACCCCCTCAATCGATTGCGCCAAGGAATCCAGGGAGACGATGTTAAACGTCAAAGATTGCAAATCGCAACCCCTCTGCAATCGGCTTTTGGGTAACTGCGTGGCACTTAACAGCCGTGCGTGTATTCCTAGAGTTTTATGATATCTGAAGCTGGCAGTCAGCCCAGCAGGCAAAGAGTGGGTTATTATGTTATGCCACTAATGCGTTTGTCTTGCTGGGAGTTCATAAGTACTCCTTCTGTGAGGCAATTACTTGACTTATGGGTAAAGCATATATATATATTAAACATAAACATACAGTGTACATGCCATTTGTACATGTTTTATAACATATTTTTAGATAAAGACATCTATATCAAGTTGAGTCACATTGTCATCAAGCTTAATTTACCTTAACGCCGCTGCATATGGTATACATCTACGATTTGGGATTGAATTAGATTTGTATGGTATATATATATATTTATATTTAATAGCCCCGTAGTATTGTTATTACGTATTACACAACCTAAAAGGTAGCAAAATGTGTTTGTCATTCAATACCTTGGGTTCACGCTTCAGTTGCAACATTCAGCAAACACCTCTACTCTATGGAATAGTCCGCTGCAAAAGAGGACTGCTCTCTGACTGCTGCCCTTTTTTCAATACCAGCAATGCACCTTAAATCCATCCTAAGGGAATGCCTGAAATTTGGTTTTCTATGTGTGTGTGTGTGTGTGTCTGTCTGTGTTGATGGCGTTGCCTGATGCAGCTTTCAACAGTGAGCAGCCGTCAAGCTTGCAAGCCGACAGTTTCTATTTGCCTCATACACTGCAAATATTTTGCAAGACCAATTTGTGAAACACGCCCACACAAACAACTAGCAACATCAATGAATTTTTGAATAAAATCTACTTCTTGCCTTACTCCATTTGGTGGAACGCTCTAAGTGCAGCAGGAATGGAATATGATTGCCAAAAATGCAAAAAGCTGAGCTGCCTTCAGCAATGCCATAGACGTAATGCAATAAAATGATTTAGCTGCCGGCTGTAACGTCTGGCTGCACTTATCTACCAACCACCAGCATTCAAACACTGATAGAATTATTTAAATTTGAATCGAGCAGCCTTATTTTAATAGAGCGACAGGCAGCATGCGCGTTGCATCTATCTTGAAAAAAAATATTGTAGTGCTACAAAAGCGTCGTTTTAAATGAGTTTTTCCGATATTCATAATTTCTGAGCTTTGCCGAAGATATTTCAAAAAGAGCTGTCTTAATTCTAGCACAGAAGTGTCAAAAAATCAAATACTTTAAAAGGCAATTTTAATTTTATATTCGAAGATATATAAAAAACTTGAATTTCAATAAATATCATGTATTTGAACAAGCTGGAATTTTGCAGCCTGCTAATTTGTAATGTATTTGCTCTTTCTAGCTTTACAAATCGTTGCTCCCCAGAGTACTGCAATTTTGCCGGAGAATGTAGGGTAATCAATAGTAAGCCGAGTTGTAGCTGCTATGAGGAGGCATTCCAGGGTAAATACTGTGAGCAAGTAAAGAACCTGTGTACGACAGAAAAAAATAGATGCACCAGCAAACAGATCTGTGTTCCCTATGTTGGTCAAACGATCTGCGAGTGCTCGCGCCAGAGAGCCGGAGCCGATTGCGGGCGCGCCGCACCCACAAAACTCATGTGCAGTTACAATGTTCGTGCAATCTATGGAGCAAAGGAATATATTGTTTTAAGCTTTGAACAGCTTGGCCCGGAACCCTTTCAAATAACTATATCGACACCAACTTATATGATTGCACATTTGCCACGCTCAAAAACATTAAGCAGCCATCACACAAACAACCTTACAGCAACCCTTCAGAGGCTAGGTATAAGAAGACATGCTAATCTGCCGTATAACGTCGCTCGCTATTACGTGTTTCAGGCGAAGCATTTTACACTGGGTGCAAATCCGCTAAGTGTTGTTATTGAGCACTTTGGAAATATTAGTCGTTCGAGCCCCAAAGTACAAACCTTGTCGCTGATTGTGCACGTAGTAAAATCAAACGTTTCGCCCTGTATGCCCCGTGTTGTTTTTCAGCATTGCATGGATCCAAAGAAACCCCAACAGGTTGATGTGGAACGCTTTATTAACATACAAGCAATTGTGGAAGAGCGCTGCTTTCCTCTAGAACGCATGCGAACTCAATGGACCATTTTCAACTTTGGGGAAAATTGTGAGTAAAGCAGCTTCTGTAACCGCACGCCCTCTGCGCCAACGGCATCTTCAAAACATTCATTTCAGTTTACTATTTTACCACACGTGTCGGGGAGCAGCTGTTGCTTAAGATACCACGCTATACATTGTGGTACGATACGCTATTAAGTCTGTACCCTAATCTTTTACTTTCGGTGAAGCTTGGGCTTAAGGAGATCAAAGGTCCATGGGTATTCGTAAGAGTATGTCATGTCTACGAGTAGCAGGAGCAGATTCTAATTATTGTACCTCCCCAGTGTTACATAAATGTGACAGCACGTAATGTGGTTGCTAATATAGCCGGCGGTCACTACAGAGAAATAAATAATAAAAGTAAATGGCTACTTCTTGATGGCTCTAAAAGTCGTGAGCCCGCACGAAATGTGCGCGCTCCTCAGCAACTAACGTATACTTGGATCTTAAGCGCAGAGGATGGCAGTAATGAGCAATACCTAACCTTCGAGAATTCCAGTGAGTATGCATTTTAAGCGTAGCCGACCATTTATCATATTTGAATGCTGCCTTTTCTTTGGCGCCGTTGTAGATCCTAAGCTAAATATACCGTCCAAAATTCTCAAGAGTGGTAAAAAAAACATAATTACACTAAAAGTAGCTAACAAACTAGTGAGCGCCCGCACCAGTCATTTTAGCCAAACTATCGTAGTAGTTGGCGATAGAGACCCACTCAGTGTAAATATAGAGTGCATCAGAAACTGCCAAGGATATCTGTACGCAACCGACCAAGTGCTGCACCTGCAAGCTTTATGTCCCGCTTGCAAGATGCCTATCACCTATATATGGAAACTGAACGGGATTGATATGAAGCAGAACAAACAGCGATTAGTGATGAAATTGGCAACGGATTTGGTAGGTGAACTGATTGTAACACTCAATGTCGCAGACCAAGCCGGCAAGGGTACCACCGAACTGAGATTGCAACAATTACAGCCTTTAAAAAGCGGCAACTGTGTAATTGAGCCACAAAATGGAAAGGAATGTGTTACAAAGTTTCATATTCGTTGTCAAAATTTTGTTTCGATGATTCAGGAACCGCTCCTGTATACCTATACAACGGGAAACATCTATGAAGATATCACCAATTCGGAAGAAACTTTCCTTTACCTAAATGGCAACACTCCATTAATTGTTCGCATATGCGGCTTTCAGTTTCCCTGCACATTCATAAATATCTCTTTTACGATTGAGCCCATGAACTTCAGAGGATCTGAAACTCTTGACAAGCATAGCATGGTTAGGATGCTAGTGGATGGCCGCAGGCAGCAGGCATTCTGTTTTCTGCAAAAATTATTAGCCAGTCCGGAAAGGATAAATGATGTGTTAGGGTACTTCCGGTCCATAACAATGGATAGAACTCTTTCGGTCTTCGAAATGGTGAATACCCTCGAAATTGCTTACAAATGCATTACATTTGTGGGAGTGGTAAATTGCCATGAAGCCCACGCCATGTCAAATATTTTAGAAAGAGTGATATTAACCTTTAATTTTGTCAGAGAAGATACCGAAATATTAGACATGCCAGAAGCGACCTGTCTCGACATGGGCATGCTAATAACCAATATTGTTGCATATTGTATGGTAAAGAAAACGGAGCTGGCAAGACAAAATTTGATTCTCGATTATCCGTATAATGAAGACTATATCGATTGGCCCCCTTTCGATAAAATGGTTTCGTCGCGCATTAAATGTTATTTAGACGTTGTTAGCTTGGTCTTTAAAATATGGCATACAATTGGCAAAGAATTCACTCGATATATTCAACCAGAGGAGCCCTTCAATTATGTCTTGAATAACGTCAGTTACAGAGTGGAAATGCATAATTCGTATGCCCCTATCGAATATGCATCTAACTGCACATCCTGCACTCTAAAAATACCTCTACCAACAGTCGAAGCTCACCGGCAAATGCTTGGGACGAACGATCTGCTAATACATGCGTGGTGCTTCGAGTCCGATATATTTTGGTGGGCACCAGGAACTTTTCCTCCAACTACTGCCGTTTTGGCTGTCGATATTCTTGGCCGTAATGCACCTTACAAGTTTAAAAGTCAATCGAGTCTCTTGTATCAATTGGGTCTTCGTAATGTCAAAGGCAACACGGTTTTCCTGTACGAGCAGTCCGATATGATCCATAATAATATGATTATCTATAGACTTAAGTTGGATGGCCAGGTAAACATGCTGGTGCATTTTGTGAATACCTCAGCAAGTCTTCGCGTTTTAATTACCATGAATGTAGAGCCAACCCTGCTCAATCTGCACGATAAAAGCTGCATTGTGTCGAAAGACTGTTACAGCAGGACAATTATTTTAAAGAATCGTTGTACAGAAGGGGGCATAGCTTATATAGCTGTATATAAGGCTAACTCCTTCGATACTGCACCCGCTCACTACACGTTTCGCATCAGCGCACAAGAATGCAGTGTTTGGGATACAAGTAACAAATATCCGAACTGGATGAAACATGGATGTTATCCGCAAAACTTGGCACAGGGTCAGCCTTATTCGCTATGCAACGTTGAGCACTTGTCGGTGTTTTCCGCCAAGAGGTATGAGATCAAGCCATTTCCTATAAAAAAAATACACAGCTATGCCTATCAATCGCCCTTTAGTTTAAGCTGCTTGATATTTAACTGTTTACTGGCTCTAGCCGCTCTGTCCCTGTTAATAATAGGCAAGCTGCGTTTGCGTCATAAAAAAAAGAATTTAATACGTGTCATCAAATCGGATCGCGATGAGATGCCACCACACACGGAAAATATCATTGTACACTTGCGTACGGGCGGATACATAATAGGTTCGACCACAGCCAATATTAAGCTGGTGTTTACATCGACACTGGGACGCTACAAGGTGGTTATATATCAGAATCCAATAAGTCCGCATCTGAAATTAAACACTTCGTGCATGATACGTCTAAGCGACGAGAAAGTACAATTACCCTGTAGACTCACAATTAGTCATGATGTGTCCGGCAGGTATCCATCCTGGTACTGTCGTTCCGTACAAGTGGATGATCTGCGACACGATCTGAGCTATACATTCCCTATACATAGCTGGATACGACGAGCTCAGAAGATTCAGGTATCCTGCTTACCGACAGAAAAATTGGTGACTATAAAGCGATTACATCAGGTAAAAGTCACCAACGGTTGTTGGAGCCAGTTTAAACATAGATTTCGATATTATTGTAAGTTCTATTTTATCAACTGGTTTATGATGCAACCCATTTTGGGACCCTGGCGTTTTACCGATGAATCCTGCAACATTTATGAGCGTACCTGCATTTGGTTATGTAAAACGATTCTCACAACAACGATGGTTTTCTGCTACTACAGAAACTCTACACATATCAAATATTTTGAATTTGATCAACAAATTTCATTATTGTCGGTATCTGAATTTCTAGAGATTGGAATCGGTAGTTACTTTGCAACCCTAATTTTTGAATTTTTTCTTTATCACCTGATACTCGGATAGGTTTTATATAAATGTGCTAAGGCCATTGCCATTTTTGTTGTAATTCAATCGCAAAGTGCAACGAAGCCCAGTATGTGTAGACTACTGTTCATTTCTCGCCGAAAATTTTGAAAGCAAATAAACTTGTTATATTGATATCCTAAACTCATTGATCCGGGCAAAGTGGGTAAATTTGTTTTGTGCAAGTGTATCTGATAGAGGAAAGAGCGCACCGTAAGCATAAATAAATGATGAGAAAACAAAAATTCAATGATTCGTCATGCCCGTCTGTCTGTCCCTCCGTCCGCCTGTCCGTTCGTATGACAGCAAGGATCTCAGAACCTAAAGGACCTAGAGAGATTTAAGGTCCTCCTAGTGGCAGCGCAGATCGAGATTGTTTCCGATAATCAATGACTTGCCCCGTTTCCAAGTAATCGATAAAATTCGATATCAAAATCCTGTTTTTAAGCAATTTTGATAAATAATAAGAGCTAAAGCCACCAAACTTGGCATGTAGGTTCTAGAATAGTATATATAAGTATAAAGTGGTTAATTAATTATCTCTGGAAATGAGTTTTATACCGATAATAAACAAAATAGTTGGAAATTTTCCGGCAACTTTTCACAGAAACACGTATTCATTAAGTTCTTATGTAAGGCTTTGAAAATAAATTTCAAGCAAATCAAAACTCCTCCCAAAGAATCATCAAATCTCATTTTCCACCGCGGGTGTTTGGATACTACTGAATGTGTGAAACAGGTTGTAAGTGATTTTTCTTAAAGTTCTTTGGCAATAAATTTGAACGGGAAACGTCACCCAGCAAATCGTTAAGTTAAAAGTTTCATATTGGTTTTCCAGAGGCAAGTTTTTTGCTTTTAATTTAAAGTTCTTCGAAGATATCTAAATAGAAACTAGGTATTTACAAATTTTGGTATTTCGAAGCTTAAGTGCGTTGATCTGATAAAACATTTATTGATCTGATAAAACATTTATAAAGATCTTTGCAAATGGGCATACAACTGAAATAATTATTTATTTATTCAGTTAAAGCGAGTGTCAGCCTAATTATTTAATACATTAGGATATAAGATTCAAATGCTAAAAGCCCTATTATAATACAAATATTTTTAATGGCATCACTGACATGATTACGCAATACAGAGCTTTTATTTCCTAGTCGAGCATTCGACTGGAAGCAGTTATGTTAAAGTGTATATAAGTCATTTGATATTGGTAGTAACACATTTATTTAATATTGATTTATTCATTTTCATTCGCATTTTAAATTATGTTGAGTATATCAATTTGAGTATTGATTATAGCTCCAATTGTATAAATCCGTTCCTGTTTCCGCCTAAATTGCTCCAGTTCCAAATTCAAATCAAACTGAGATATTTTTTTCTTGACAACAAATGTGTTGTCACTCTCCGCCTTTTGCCTATCTTCTCCAAGCAATTCCAACTGCCGTTTAATGTTTTCAGAAACAGTTTTGTTTTTGCGGTGATAATATTTACGGAAAATACGAAACTTTTGCCACCATAATACAAAAGGCATACACTCAGCATACATAAATTGCAAAATGCTAATGCGACGTACAAATCGTGTATCCCTCTGGTCCTTCGCAGTGGAAAAATAGTCGTTGATGAGAGATACGAAAACATTTATCAACATCACTGAAATAACAAATGCCAAGATTGAAAACATGAGAATACCAAAAAGCTTGCCTCCATGAAAAAGATCTTCTGTATTAACAGCCATAGTAAATCCACATGCGAAGCACATGCAAGATACGACACTCTTGCTAAGCCGATAAACGTTAAAACTGTTGTTGCCATTTATTGTAGAAACTGCCACACCAAAGCCCAAAATGAATACGAATATGACCAAGGCAACACTCGCCACAGCTGCCCATGCCAGGTGCAGTGTAAAGGTAAACAGTTGAAAGACACTGGAAAATTGTAGCACCTTCCACAAACGCAACGTTGTAATGCAGATAAGAAAGCCAAAAATCATTCTGATGACCATGTGCAGCCGAGCTGCAGGCCTTAACTCAATAAACTCCATTTTACTGGCGCCCTCAATATGTTTAAGAATCGATGCAACTTTATCTTCACGTAAGATAATCAAAGTTAACAAGATGATGTTGAGCATAAATATTCCGAGGTCTATTATGTTCCACACACTGCGAATTTCGCTTGGATCTAACCACAACTTCACCGTTAATGCTTTAAAAAACTCTATAAACACAATGATATAAACAATAACCAAGACTATTGCCACATCTGATAGCTTATTTTCCAGCAGTCTCAAGCTCTCAACTCTCACATTGGGGATCGTGCTTCCAAAGGGAGTCTGCTCTACACGCAAGGTGCATACATTCAATATGTTTGCATCAGTATTGTATAGTAAAAAATCCAGAAATACCGCCGAAGTGTTGTAATTGAGCCATTTGTTGCTCTGAAGGTATTCTAGTATTTTGAGACTATTCTGTCGACTCCGAGCAAATAATACCACATATCCTCCCAGCTCGGGGTAGTTACGAAAAAAGCCCACATGTTGAAAGTTCAGCCATAGGTTCTCACGTACGTTCGGATTTCTGTGAACCCATGGCTGGTAGATGCGCCAATAAATATTAGAATAGGGCAAGTCCACGTATGGTAGTTTCCACTCAGGCATATAGGATTGATCTGAGAAGTCCGGCTCATAAACACCATAATGTTGCTCGGTCAGTCGCAATTGACGTAGCCGCACAACTCCAAGTAGGATTGTTTGCTTGCCGTGGACCCATACCGATACACCAGTATGGTTAATTTCAGGATGAAATGCATTTATCAGCGAGCTATAAATGAATTTATACACATCGTTTATATCGTAAACTTCATTCAAACCGTAGTAAACAGAATGATTATCAGTGAAGAGCCGCTCTATGTTATTTTTAGTATGATACGTATGTTCATCACAGACTACAAACACTAAGCACACAACAAATACAAAGTACCTTCCATAAAGCCACAGATCATGTGCTATATGCTTGTACTTGCAATTCAGTTTCTCGTCACGATGTCTTTCCATTATATAAAGGTGAGCACGTAGGCTTTGCAATCGCAACGTCAAATAATCTAGGCGATTGTGATGAGTGGCTTCCTTTTCCGTTGCGAACTTACGCTGACCCGGTGGCCAAATGGAAGCCTCCAGTGAGAGTAACGCAAACCTGATGGGATCTCCGAACATATAGTGAAACATAAGGACCGCAATCACGGTTATCAGAATTGATCTTAAGTTTCCCGAGGAATGATGGTATCCGGAAAATATTGAAATCGTTGTCATGCACACTATTAACACAAATACTGTGGTCCAAAATAATTCAGAATAAGTTTTCTTTTTTGCCATAATGTATAATTTTTTTTCTGAAAGAAAACCTACTGTTTTGATTTGTGTTAATACATATTTCATATTTTTTTGACATTTAAGAAATCGTCATGCTTTTTTAAGATCTCCAGAATAATCATATATAATATATAATATACATAATATAATATAAAATAATATAATCTCAGCAAATATAAATTGAGTCTCCACCCAATCGCTGGTATTCACAATTTTTTCATTTGCTCTCTACATTTGTAGAATTCTTTTCTTTTTGTCGAATCTTTTGAACGTGTTTAACCCCTGAACCAATCCCAGTAAACCCTATATTAGAGCCTGTGCCAGTCAGCAAAGCTGCTGCAGCACCCTCAGCTTGTCGCCCCAAAGGCGCAATCCAGCCCAGATCCTAAGTTTCAAATCTACACTCCTCGGGAAATAGCATCTTTCAAAATAAATATTTCACATGATTCGTTCCCAATCACTTGGGATTCCTACATAAGCAAAGGCAGCCTTTCCTTGTCACCCTTCCGGTTCCTTCGATACAAGATCTTGCCATTACTGCCACGAAAAACTAACTTCGTCGAAACCTAGTTTCTATTACATATCAGAATTTCAGAGGTCTCATTTCTAAGCTTAAAAATCTTTATAGCTAGGACTTCTTTCTACTTTACTACTCACACTGTCGCTGAGATTGTGAAGGTGTTAAGGTAATAATTTATATCACTTATATTTTTTATATTACTTAAGTTTATATAAAATATTTTATGTATAGGCATAGCAGTGCTTAGAAACCACAACAATGCGTTAGAAGGATGCAGAAGCTAAGATCATAGCCTCAAACAAAATAGGAATAGAAGATGGTTAATTCAAACTTTCAAGACAGTACATAGATTTAAATTTTTGAAAATTCTTTTTAGTTGCTTTTACGTCTTCGGAAAAAAGTCGTGTCACAAAGCAGAACTTTAGTTACTAGCGTTTTCGTAATGGCCACGTAGACGAAAATTCCGCGCCATAAATCACGTGTAAACATTTCAAGGTTGTGCTGCCTAGCTAGGTAGAAAAAGCATACTTTGGAAAAACAGGGAAAATGCTGCAAAAACATGCTACAAAGTGGTTGCGTAACTGACAGGCGTAGGCACCAAAACCTAAAGGCGGCCACGACTTCGGACAAGTAGCCTAAGTCGAAAAAAGCGACGACACAAATCAAGAGCGGCCGAATTGGACGTCAACATGGCTTTGATTGCTGTTATGCCATCAACCCCTTACGGCCACTTAAAGGAAACGAGGTGAAAGCAAATCCAAAGGCAAACTGACGGAGGCCGATGCCCAGTCACCAGATACCTACAATCCAGGCCACCACTCATCACTAAACAATGTAAGAATTCTGGCTATCCAACCACGACAACAACAACCATCAAGTGCTGACCGATATACTATGTACACACGTGCATATGTACTTTAGGCACACTCAAATGAATCATTTCACACAAAAACATGTAGAAAGTGTGCCGGCGACATCCTGCAAAAGGTCAAAGCTGCAAGAGACGACAAGAGACTAACAAGCCGGATGAAGGACGATAGACAAGCCCCAACCAAGTAAGCTGTCCAGCGCCTGTCAGATCTCGATTTGAAGATTTAAAGTGTTTCTCTGGCACCCAGAAAACCGACATTTGCAATGCCTGCACCCAACATTTGCGCATCGTGCAAAAAATAAAAAAAACTTGGGTGTGCCCCTGTAAGTGTGTACGAGCGTAAGGGAGGCGAGCAGTCACCATTAAATCGGCTTGCTTTTCTGCGTTTTTTACCCTGTATCCTTTGAAATAGGCTCAAAAAAAGAGGCTTAATGGTTTTGTGGGCGAGTGCGTAACAACAGAATCTGTATGTTTGTATATCCCTATGATATTTTTTCGATTTTTTCTACCATTTCCAAAGTATCTATATTTAAAACAAGGTTTTCAGGCATTACTTTAAAACATTACGAGCTGTCGTCGTACAGTATGCCCAAAAGAAAAATATTTTTCTTTTTGGAACCATCAAATTTAAAAACTAGAGGGTATCTCCCAGTCAAGCACTCCTGACAAGTGCACTGTTGTTCAACATGCATTTTTTAGCAAGCCCCATGCGATGCGAGTTGTTTCGCATTTCGCGTTTTTATGCACTGTCGCCTCGCCGCTGGTTCTGGGCGTGGGCAAACTTTGTGCTCTGGCTTTTGGTTGCCTTTCAAGCGCATTTCAGCAGTATTAATCAATTTAGTTGCGCTCATTTACACCATTTCGCGCTCTGGTACAGTTAAAGGGTCCAACTACGTTCGCACAAAGGCTTCGGAGCAAACGAAACAAGCAGAACTCATACTTTAATTAAATTCAAAACAAGCTCCAAGCAAACGAATAATTGCCTATGAATCTCCAAATAAGTTAAGAAACGCAAACGCCATTTAAAATGCATAACAATTCTTGTATATCTTAAAAAGGGTTTCTTTTATATTATAGTTATAGGCAAAAAAGAGAGAATCTAAAAAAGCGTACATTTTACAGCCGTAGCATTAGCAAAACGTAAAAAAGTCATTTCTGAACGCTATACTCGTACAAGCATGTGTTTGCTCAAAGTTTTTGTAGCATTCAACAAAACGAACTGCCAAAGAGGAATTGTCCGACACGACAATAATCGAAGATCTCACGCAACACACAGATTTATAAAAGGACTTTGGCTTGCGCAAAGCGATTATGCCTCTTGGGTCACAATCAATTTTTAGTTGGAATGATTGATTGCACCATGAAAATAAGTTGATTACATAATTTGGACTTATTGTGTGATTTTGATTTTTATAAATGATATTTCGAAAGCAAGGCCATAAAAGACGATGTCATAAGGCCGGTAAGGATATTCAACTTGGCTCCGGTATGTTTTAGGCACATTCGGGTAGGTTTTGTAACATACAAAAATGATGTTCCAACTTTGTGTACTTATGTTGTGCCACACACATTTGGCACGCCCTCAGCTTATTGGTTGGGCACAGCTGCGTTTGCTCCCCTGTTGGGGCTTTCGTACAAATATGCTGGCTGTCCTTTGCCTGTGCTGTGAACAGCATCATTTTTCATTAAGTATTCGCACCGCACTGCAAAACTTCGTTATGTATACACACAATATATTTTATTGGTGCCCTGGCAATTGTTTGGCTATATACGTATATAATGTATGTCTGTCAGTTATATAAATTTCAGACTATAAATAACACCGCTTTTTGGTCTTACTCAATGAGCTGACAAACTGGCTTTGCCATGCCGTAAATTAATCGCAAAGTATTCACATTCTGTGTGAAAAACCCACATCAAAAACAGCTCCTCGTTTTAATCAACCTGGATACGTCATAAAAAAAGGCGAAATTTGCATAACAAACCTTTGAGGTGCAACTATCTGTGTGGGTTTGCAACTATCAGCGGGAAAAGGACCCATATCCTTAAGCCCCATGTGCTCCTTGTTTTATGCATATAATTAAAAATTTTATTGATATAGTTGCAAAATGTGAATAGCTGTATTTTTAAAACAATTATCAACCATGAAACTAATACAAAGCAGTTATTCTTGTGGGCCAAAAACTTGCTGCAACAGAAGATATTTGGCTTAAAGTGCGACAGTATATTTTTTGGGACATTTAAAGCAATCTTTCGTCAATGTTTGAGAATAATGGTATGAGCTAATGTCAAGCAGCTCAAAATTATACAGTTCTCGAAAACAATAATACACTATTCGGTTATCTGAGTACCATTTAAATTTTTGACATTTTTATAATAAATTTAAAACACATTTCATTTAAAGTTCATATAGAACTAGTATATATTTAAAATGTCCAATATGGACTCGGGAATTTCTTTAGACGATTTCGATGAGAATAAGGAATATTTTGTGGAGCAAATAATTAGTCGTCGCATCCGTATGGGACAGGTGGAATATTTTGTGAAGTGGCAGGATTTTCCAGACGAGGATAATACTTGGGAGCTTTCAAAGAATTTAGACTGTCTGGCATTAATAACTGAATTCGAATCTCAACGGGCTACGAAAAACAATAAAAGACAGGCCGAACTCAAAATAAATGAGATTTATGTAGCCAAAGCAAAGAAACTTAAGATTGAGCCATCTGTCATTATTGACAATGCCTTTGAATACGGACACAAAGCTGAGAAAATACTGTGTGCCTCAAACAATCGTGGTAAAATCTCATTTTTAATTAAATTTAGGGACCTGGATCAACCAGAACAGGTGGAGTCCGAGGTGGCATACAACCATATACCACTCTTGGTTATACAATTCTATGAGGAGCATCTTAAGATCTTAAATGCATTTGCCACCAACTCAAGCTTACCAAGTTGAATATATTTTCATATTTATATATATATATAAATGTTATATTTTTATTTTCAGCACGTAATACAAAAAAAGAAAGACATATTCTTTACAATTTAAAGTGTAGATACTAAATCTGTATTAAATCTAGATACAATAAATCAAATCACTGTTTAAAAAATCTTTCCAGTATACTCTTCGCAGTGTCTCCAGCAAGGCTAAAAGTTAATATTTACATAGGTAAAAGCTCTCAAATTCTAGAATACTGAGGAAAATTACCCGCAGATAAAGTCTGACTTTGAGTATCAATGTAATGGCATAGTAACCTTCTTGACCTTTTTGGGCACTCACGACAAATTAAACCACCTCGCAAAGAAAACAAGCCATTTAAGAAAATGTCCGCTCATTTATTCTGTGAGCAGACAACCGAAACAACCCAAAAGCACAATAAAATTGTAATTGTTTTTGTATATTTTCATTGTTGTTTAGCGGGTTAACTGTTACATAAAGTATAAGCTAGATAAACTTAACAAGTAAGAGGGTTCTAGTGGGGAGTGTGCGACTAGGAGATCAACTAAATCCCATACCAAGCGGTCATTACAAAAATTCGAACTTTATGACGCTATAGAAAATGCATTCTTAAACAACTTCGATAATCTTTATTATCAATATGCCGATGATTTTGAAGCTAACAGCGCCCAAACATGACACCTAAGTGTGTGTTTATATTAAAGCACAACGTTCTAGCATTAAGCATGCATATCTAATTAAATGATTCTTAGGCCGGCAGATGGCGTTACTAGTATTAAGCCTATATTATTTTTAGTTAGCCCTTACGTTCATGTGTATAAATTGGACAGCTATCAAACTATTAGTTTGTGAGATATATCATGTCGAGTAAAGCAAATTTTGTTTGAATAAAAAAACTGGCGAAAATATAAAACTATTGAAGCCAAGGCTTGGCTTGACAAACATTATTCACACTCTACACCAGGATAATCAACTGTTTGGCTTGCCAAGTTTAAACGAGGCGAAATGAGCACCGGGGATTATGAACGCAGTGCACGCTCCAAAGAGGCTGTTGCCGATGAAAACATCAAACCGTAAAGTGAAGTTGATCTAGATAGCTGGACATTTAGTGAATGACTATTTGGGTATGCGAAAGCTGTGTTCAAAGTGGATGATTCTAAGCAGAGCAGCTGTCCTATTATATAAAAGGTGAATTTTTGGATCGATAGATAATGCTCGCTGAAAAGAAATTTAGCGCCGATGAAAAGATAATCGCCTAAACTGTAGCCCATTTTGAGGCTAAAATAAAAAAGCTGTAGAAAAATTGTATGGCTGCTATAATCGAATTTAAAAAAAAGATGTTATAATAAACGAGAGCCTGCATAGCAAAAGTGGACTCTCCAGACCTTGTAACTTCTGCGTTATTATTTAAACACTTGTTTAAGTATCGATACTTCTCGCAATTATAGAAGCGGGGCAGATATGGATATAAACAATTCTTTTTGCTTACGATATGCGAGAATACATCAATTTTTTTAGTTTAGTTTTCATACATACGTGACAGACATGACTAGATCAACACAGCTCCAATCGGATATGCTTCTTTCTACCTCTTAAACAAATAAAAACCTCTAATGTCATCTGATAGATTTAATTGCGACAAGCATTTGCTGAGAGAGCTAATTACAAGGTATTATGCACAGCTTGAATTTGAAAAAGAAAAAAAAGAATTATTAATTACAAGCCCTCACGTTGACTTTGTTTCCTTCCATTCCGGTTACTCGCGCTACATTTTGCTGTCACGAGGTCAAGAGCTATACGCACACTGAGGTTTTTTTTTCAACCCTCTACTTTGTTTTCTTTTTGTATTTGATTACGTGCTTGAGCCGCCATGAAACAGGCTTAAACAATGGCGCCATTGTTTGTCCAGTGACCCCACTAGCATGTCACGTATGTATGTATATGTGACTGTTATTGTACTCATGGGAGGAAGAAAGTGATAGACCTTATGCCCTCTAGTTAATTATTGAAAATTGTAAGCTATGCAAACATTCCATCCACCATCTTGCTGTTCATTTTGAATATAAATGTGAATCATAAATAAAACATAAGAGTGTTATACTTGGAAAATAGGCGATAGGACATATCCTTAGACCGCCGAGTTACCCTTACACAAATTCTAGCATGCAGGACGCAGATCGAGCATTAAGAATGGCTTTGGTTGAGGGCAATTGTGAGGGGGGAACAACTATACAAAAGCCTAAATTAAAAATTTGATGTATTATAAATTTTCAAGTACGCACGGACGAGGACTTTGACTCGACTATTGATGCTGTGAAAGATTATATATACTTGATGTGTTCGAAAATACTTCCTTCTGGCAGTTACATAAGTTTGCAGAAAAGCAAAATACCCTTTTTACCCATTTTTAATGGGTTCAGAGTATAAAAGGCAAGGCCGTCGCTGGGCCCAGCATATGGCGCCAACCATCCAACACCAACTAACATAAAACTAATCAAAAGCTTTTCCACAACAACACAATGGCTGCCGCCCAACCGCAATGCCGCATTAGGTCCAGCTGTCAGTACTAAAACAACGTGAACAACAAAAGCAACAACGACCAGAAACAACTACCAGAAACTCTTTAACTTTATTATCAGCGATAGGAGGATGATTGCTGTCAAATTTGTCTCAACATTTTAGATATAACTTGCTCACCCAGTCTCTCGGAATTCCATACATGTATCCACTTAGAAAATTTTGGGTTCCTAGCTCTTACGGCTTTCAGTCAGGACAAACAGTTTTATATATAGAGATTTAAGAACTTTTGAATGAAACCTTTTGAGTTCCTTCACTCGAATTCCAGCTCAGATGATTGACTGGGAAGCCGAGAAGGCATAAGGAGTGATTAACCCACCGACCTTTAGGGCGACGAGGTCACCTCCCTCTCTCAGGCCGTCCGTCTGATAGCTCAAATGCACCCAAAGCAAAGTTCTAAGCCAATCACTAGTTAAGGAAACACAAGTGGCGTTTAATAAATAAAAATATTTAAAAACAAAACAAAGGAATTTCGCTTTCCGTCTTCTTTGGGCCTCGAGGCTTTGCCGATCCGATTGCTGTTGAAAAATACAAATATTTTAATTCTTTTTGATATCAAAATAAAAGAACAAACAAATGAAACCGATGCTCTGGCACAATAATATGACAATCTTACTTGGCCCTTGGCTATTTGTACAATTTTTGGATCAATTGATTCAATGTGAACAAGTTGAAATTTGGGTATATATGGCCACGCCTAGAGAGTGTGGGGCAAAGCAATTTACGGATATCAGCCACGTATGTGCAACTTAAATATTTAATGATTACTAAAACAAGCAAACAGTCTGCCTCGTAAGTCGCCAGCACTGACTGTGATGCAGCATATTGCGATGCGTTAAGTGTTAGACACCCTGGAGGGTTGGGGAAGCCCAATGTGTGCAAATTTATGCGTAAATTCAACGAACGCCCACACACATGCACCCTGCGGCATTCGTACATGGAATAATATGCTTTCCCCACCCAGAAGACCGCAAACGTTGCTCAAATGATTTGCATAAACTACAAGTGTTAAAAAGTATGCCTATGCTTTGTGTAAGCTGCGGGGCTTTTATCTAATTACCTATCAATAATTAGTAATACAAACAAATTGAACACGAAAAACACGTTGTAGTAGGCCCCTAATGGTCCGAATTTGATTTTAAAGTGGGATATTCCAAATACATAGTCGATAACTAATCAAGGCAAATAACAATTCATTAAGGAAACTAATTTTTCTTTTCATATGTCCTTAAACTTAAACGAAATCTAGCTCAATTTTTAACAAGTAAATATATTTTAAAAAGAGCATTTCTTAATTTAAAAAATGCTCAACTAACACAAAAGTCAATCAGGAGCACGCGTCTAGGGAATACCCCTACTTCTAGCCCTATATATGCATTAGAACAGAATACACTTTTTACAGTTTACACTACGGCGCATTCTTTGTGCAGGCAACTGTGGAAAATGCTTTTGTCTTTAGCTTCGGTGCTTATTATCCGATCTTTACCAAATGTCCAGGGCATATGCGTGAATATCACCCAAATGCGCTCGCCTAAAACGATTTAGTAATTGTGATTTTGTGCATATTTCATATTATCAACAAATGCATCTTCTTGTAGACAAAGTAGATTTAATTTTTTGAATAGCGTTACCGATTCCGACTTAAGAGACTTTATAGACAGCGACTAACATTGTGTATCTTGAGAAAACAGCGAGCGATACGAAAATGAATCTCTGTGTACAATTTGATATTAGCCAGGAATAATTCTACTTACCACACAGAATTTCTCACTCTTCTTGGTGCATTCCTTGAGATAGAGATGCGCAATCTCCTTGGAATAGTTGGTGCAGGGAGTTATCGAGCCCACGCCCTCGTTGTACTGGCCGCACATGTGGCACTTGAGGCCTTCGACATGCCCAAGGCTGATGCTGCAAAACAAAATGGCGCCCAACAGCAGCACCGCCCATGGAGGACCAGAAACTGCCGAAACAGCTGCCCAGCCGGCCTTGGAGTACTCTTTGGATGACACGACCTTCTTCGTTGGCATTGCTTTTCAGTTGGCGTGCAAAATGTTCGTATGAGTCCTAACCTTTGACACGGACAGCAGATGAACACAGCCAACACTCCCGCTCACAAATATTGCAAATGTGCTATTTACGCTTTTTTTTTTTTTTTACTTTTATTTCCTTTGGTCGAGGGCACGTTTCGTTCTTGGTCTTTAGTTATTGTCTGCGTTTATTTAATATTAATTTGTTTTCTTTTATTTATAGTTTTTTCCGTTTGTTTTTGTTTTTATTTTCTGGCAGATAATACTAGAGGTCACGGTGTTTGTTAACCTTTATGTAGAAAGGATCAAAAAAGTATTGCATGCAGTTAGTTGCACTCATCAATTATAACCCCAATTATATCGTAGACCTAATTAGAAAATGTTTATCCAATAGATTTGCAACTAGTGTACTACAATTATTGGCTTCGACAACTCTTCCTCCAATGGAAGTATCAGTTCTAGATAGTGTCTAACATTTGTAGGCTTATATATTTTATATTTGCAGCTGCTTAAGGTCACAAATGTTCTATGAGACATACACCTTATAAAAGTCCTCGTATGCCAGCTTGTTTTATTCTGCAGTTCTAAGTATTAATTCGAAAACAACAAATTGAAATGATTTAAACAATTGATGTACACTTAACATCAATTTATATTATTAGATCTATGCTTGGTTCGTATTGGGCTGCGGGCAAAACGGAGCAAGTTGAACACTTTAGGTCGCATGCTACAATCTGCCAGATGCTGCGGCATTCGTGACCAGGTCGCAAACATTTAGGCCGCGTCCATAAAGAAATTTCCAAAACAAAAAAAAATTGCCTTCAAATCGCTTTTGTTTCAACTGAACGTTGTTTGAACTTTCTGCTGCACACGTGTGATGGCCTTGAATGTGCTGCTTAAATGCAGAGCTTTAAGTATTTACATAAAATCGAGCTCGATTTGCCAGAATGTTGGGCAGCGACTTTAGGTGCGTTTTGTTGCATACTTTTAGGCCGTTCGTCTATTCGACATATGCAAAAGTGGGCCAGTTGGTGAAATTTTGTGCTTCTTGCACAGAAGTGGCAACGCTTTCAACTGCAGCCAGCTCGATTGCTGGCGAATATCACGCATACGCAGCAGCTCTGCTAATGCTGCTACTCATACAGCCAATTAGGAAATTATGTTTAATTAAACGGATTAGTGCGCGCACTGATTTTGAATTCGATGAAGGGCGATTTCTGGCCTTTCTAATTACACGCTCCACATTATCGACCATCATAATTAGCGAAATCTTAAATCATCTGTTTTGCTGCAGTGTCTTTCACGGTCCTGATTCTCAGTTTGGTTAAGTAGTGTAAACACTTGCATGTGCCTCACTCAGCAAAGATACAGCGGAAACCTACTTTGAATATTTGCTAAAAGCTGCTTCGTCCGCTTAACACGTGCGTCGCGTTTGAACAGAATTCGTCGACTGCAGCAACAAAATGTTCGTCGAACATTCTGCGCAACGGACATTCGAATATTCGTGCATTTCGGCATAAACTGTCTTATTCGCTGGTTTGCTGGTTTGATGGTGTGATGATTTAGTGGTTTGGTTCGGAGATTAATTTGGGGCTCAACATTTATTATCGTACTTAGTACGACCTGCATTAAATGTACACAAAGGACCTCTCTGCCTTTGACATGGTAAATGTTATAAGCTAATTCTTAGAATTTATAAAGGTCATTTTGTAAAATCGAAAACTGTTTTCATAAGCTAAAACCAACATTTTAAGTGCTTAAGGATCCTGAAATTAAATTTGTCTGCTCCTCTAACAAAACATTATTTTTGTCGATTTGGATTTAGATCGAATGTATGTTCGTAAGTTTCTAACACTGCAAAAAGTATGCATATGGGTACATGTACAAATGTTAAAATTTAGGCATGTTTCCAACATATCCCATGTTGTACGTCGAACATAGCTGACCATAAATTTGTGATGGCATGTTAAATACAATTGCCATAAAAGCATATTTTCCGTTCACCACAGGGTTACAGTCTTCGCTTACAGTTTGAAGCCAATGGCGTTTTCGAGTTAGTTTCAAACCTTCGTGAGTTATAAAGTTTTCGGACTTCAAAAATGAGGAGTGTAATCAACATTTAATTTTATTGAATAAATAATTGTCAAGACTAGGTTGCAAATAAATAAAACATTTAAATAGTTTTAGTTCGGTTCGCGGTTTTAAACAAAATTATGGTTTGGTTTGTGAGCATGGTTGTTCATGTGCGTGCACCTAGGTATTGGTTTGGATCTTAGCTCACCGAAATTTGTATTAAGAAAATGGCCAAATTTCGTTGTAAGCTTAACGACCGTCAAATTTTTTTATTGAAAAGCGACCGTTTCAATTTTTTACTTCCCCGAAAGGCGTAGGCAAGAGATCAATGAAAATATCTGTTCTGTTCGTGTCACAAGAAGAAATGGGTATCCATTACATCAACTGACATTTCACACAAATTCACATTTAGTTGATTTATACCAGATCTGTTAATACTATGCGAGAAGACAAATGTAAAATAAATTATAAAACCTCGAAAATATGAGCAAAAACCCGTTCGATATCGAATCTTATCGATTGCTTGAAAGTAAGGCGAATTATCGATAAACGCTAGCAATCGGTCAATCTGAGATCGGCGCGTTTCTGCATACGGACAGACAAACAGAAAGCAGATATTGCTAGATCGACTCGGCTTTTGATGCTGAACAAGGATATGCATACATTTTCTGGGATCCTAGATATTTACCTCTAATATACTTTAATTACCCACTTTCAACGGGTTCAAGGTATACGTAGGAGTAATCGAAAAATATCTTGGCATGTTTCGGCATTTAGCCTATGTACTTTACAAAAGTACAAAATCTTCAATTAAGTGTAGCGCTAATTTTTCCCAGTGCGGCTGAAACGAACGATTAAAGATGACTTTAAAGTTTAATGTTTTTAATACATTGATTTATTAAGCACGACAGCCATCGATAAGCACAGGCCGATAGCGACTCTTAACTACGGGATTAGCGCACGAGGCGTGGGTACAAAGAGGAAGACTGATAAATAATTTGCGAGGTTTGTTGGGTTGTTTTTGAGAGCCTAAGCCAATATTATTTGGTTCTTTTGGATCCAATCGACATAGTTGGCAACCTTGCAGTAAACACCAGGATAAGGTGCCACCGTGCAAGGCTTGATGCTCCAGGACACAATGCCCACCTGCTGGCCGTCGTACAAGAGGGGGCCGCCAGAATCGCCACTGCATTGTCCCTTTCCACCCTCATCGACACCACCGCAAATGTGGTAGCGGGGATCTGTGGATCCTTGGTGACGCGCCACGCACTCCTCGTCAGAGTATACCTTCAGCTGTACCTGCTGCAGGGTAGTCTGTATACTGCCGCCAGTCTAGACGAGAAGACAAAACATTTGTTCACCTTTCTGACTACTGAAATCCGATAAATAAGCAGCTCCTACCGCATTCAGGCCCCAACCAACGAGTGTCCCCTCACCGCCGGACTCCGACTGGGGCGTGGCAAAGTTAAGCGCGGGCAGCTGCACAGGGGCGACGGTCTTGTAGTCAAACTTGAAAGGCTCCGCCACCTGGAGCAGGGAAATATCATTGGCATAGTGGTTGCTGGGGTTGTAAAGCTCGTGCTGAATGATCCGCTTGACAGCCACCACGTTGGGTCCGCTGGCGCCGATATTGGTCACACCGTACTGTACTGAGATCTGCCCGGCTTTGCGTCCATCGGTGCAATGAGCCGCCGTCAGCACAAATTGATTGGAAACTATGGAGCCGCCGCAGGAATGGGAGCCACTGGCACCGCGCAACGAAATCTGGGTAGCACGTTATAATCGTATATGATATCGATGTATGCACTTATGAATCGTCGAGCTCACCACAAACGGATATTTCTCCACGGTGGCATCCGTGCCATTGACCACCCGACCCATCGGCGGTGCAGCATAGACGCTGGCACTGGCGATTGCCAGCAACAGGAGTGCGAATATGTTTAATCTCGGCGAAAGCATATTGTTGAGTAGACGGTATCACGAGTAGACTCCAGTTACACGGCGCTTCGGTCGCGCCTTTTATAGGCACGACGATTTGTGTTGGCACTGGCGATAGGCCAGATATTTATTTATGGCCAGCGATAGGTGTGTAATAAATATAAAAGAGCCTGATTCACCTGGCCTCTCTGACTGGGTTTTATTCCAAGATTAGGATGCATATTGGGTTTTTTAAACGTTTTATTTCCGATGTTTATAAAGTATATAGAAACTATCTTTGGCCAAACAGATTATCTATACACAACGCATCGAGCAACATAGTCTCCTTAATTGTTTGATATACTAGCGGACATCCCCCTGCCCCACCCCCTTTGCACGAGGCATATTTTGTGTTTCAAATATTAGATATAGCCCGTATCACGCCCATAGACATTTTAACTCTTGCTTTCGTAAAATCCACGTCTAGAGGTATTTGAAAATAATTTTAAATTCGATGAACTAAATAAAAAACCAATACCACACTTTCGAAGAAGAAAAGTATGAAACCCTCCTCAAAAGAATTCGAGTCAGCCAGGATTAACAGTTCTTTTTTATATATATTCTCTATATACAGAATAAATCAAGTCAAATAATTAGTTTCTCAATATTTTTGTGTATATATTTGATGTGAATCTTTGACTAAACCATTTTAATTAAAGTAATCACAATGCAGAAAAACAAATAAACGTGTGGCTTGAAGTCCCAGAGCAAACTTGGCAATATTGCTGGAATGTGAAACTGTGCAGAATGTGCTTAAAATAATTTGATTTTTACTATACATTTTAGTAACAAATAATTTGTGATAACTCTAATTATAAGCAGGTTACAATGTCCCAAGGGAATTTGAGCCCCCGCAATCAACGTTCTGCTTTTAACCAAATATTATTTTGAATATATTAAATATTTATGAAGAACTAACAGATTTTAGCAAACGCACTTTGTGTCGGAAAATGTGAGTCAAACAGAACACATAACTTAAGCAACCATATTATCTAGTCCAGATCTAGATACATTTGTAGCTATGCTCTATATAATACGTAACTACACTACTTTACTAAGCGATGCTATCATCGGACTACAAAAATACTCCAACATATGCGCACCAGCGCCATCAAATTTCTACTGTATACTGCAGCTGCGTACCGTGGACATCTTTTGTTCCTCTTCATCCAAATGCTTGGCGCTCAAAATACTTTTAATGCTCTCGGCCTCCTTGATCCAGAACTCCAGCTGAAATGAAAAGTACATGCATCCACATACTACGTTATGCGGAAACAATTGTGGAACTCACTTGTTGCAGCAGCAGATTTCGTCGCTCGCCCCTTGGCTCGTTGTTAACAAATGGTACCAGAATACCCAAAGCAGAGGTATACGACTCCAAGGCAGCGTCCAGCTTGCGCTCGTACAGATACAGCTCACCCTGCCGCCCAATTTCCAGGCCTGTCTTCATAGCAGGACTCGAGCCCGATAGAGTAACTGAAAGACATTCAATATTAACGTAAGAAACTTACAATTTGTAAAGGTAAATATTAAATAATCATATATGTGTATAATGTTACAAAAATATGTATATACTAAAATGAAGTCACCGTATTGATTGAAAATTAATGAATGTCATCGACTGTCGTTGCCTGTCAAACGCTACACTCCGCCCGTTAGCAGAGTTAATTTTGAAAATTATGTTCCCTTATTGAAATATAAACCTTAAAAAAATATCTTAATATCTTTTCGCAATAGTTGTTCTTCCTATTGCTGTTTAACTTGTTTAGTTTGGTAACAAAAATAATATCGCAAGCAAGCCATTCGCCAAAATGAACAAACTTAGAAAGAACTCGTCGACTGAAATGTGTAATAGAGGCAAATGTGGTTTTCAGGTTAACTGGAACCAGAAAAAAGTGAAATGTCATACAAAGCTGTTTATAGCGCGCATCCGGCTCAAGCATTTCCATCATGCGCGACGTGCTTGGCTGTGCTTGATTCGTAGCCTCAGCAGTTGTAGCAGGGATCCCTTTTTCAGAGCGTTGCGATACTGGTGTCTGCTGCCGTTGTGCCAGCAGCTTGTATTCGTCCTCAATGATAACATTTTTGATCTCCTCCGCGCGCTTCATGTAGGCTAAAGCCCGATTACGTAGCTCCTGCCGCCGGCTGGCATCCGATTCCTCGGTTATGAGCGGCACAAAATATTGTAATGCGCTGCAGTACAAATAGTAAGCCTCCTTATAACTACGTTTCTCATCATGCTCCACCGCCTGAGTCACCAAGTCAATGGCCTTTTTCAGTGTCTGCTCCGAGGGAAAAGTTTTGAGATCTAAAAAGGGATGTGCAAAGAAATCCGCAAAGGAGATGCGCTTCGCCGGCTCATGAGCCAGAAGACGACGCAACAAATCGTGGCATTCATTGCTGATGCGCGCATTTGGTGGCAGCACAATTGGCTCGGCCTTGCGAATGCGCAGTAACAGCTCCTCAATAGTGCGCGAGCTATAGGGCGCTTTTCCGAACAGGCATTCATACAGTATTACCCCGACGCTCCAGAGATCGGCCTTGGCATCGTACTGATGTTTTCGCACAATCTCCGGGGCCATGTAGAGCGGCGAGCCTTTCAGCTGCTGATTGATTTCGCCTAGTTTCAGGTGTTGCGCAAATCTTTAAAACTCAAACGATTAAAGAATCCCAGTCGTCATTTTTTTCAATTACATACCCAAAGTCCGCAACCTTTAGAGAGACATTATTAAAACTGCGCGTGAGCAGTAAATTCTGTGGTTTCAGATCAAAATGTGAAACATCGTTGGCCCGCATATACTGAACCGCAGCAGCTAATTGCCGCAGAAAATATCGACATGTTGACTCTGGGAGCGCTTTCTTGGTGCGTATGAAGGCAGATAAATTGCCAGCATTACAATATTCCAATACAATGTAAATGTTCCTTAAGTGGACGAAGAAGATATACAATTATATTATTTTCATTATCAACTAGAATCTGTCAAATACGCTCATCATATTTTATTCCAACTCACTTGTCATCCCAGAAAAAGTCCTGAAGCGTCACAATGTACTTGTGCTTCAGATCTCGGAGCAGGCGAATTTCGGTTATTAAATTGTCGCGTGAGCTCTGAGACAAAGTAGACATTTCCACATATTTGATGGCATGATAAGTGCGTTCCTTCTATGGGAATATACGAGTGAATGCGTTTAGATAATTGATTTCGTAGAATAATTGGATTGAAGGACTCACTTTATGGCGTGCCTTGTAGACAGACGCATAGCTGCCCACTCCAAGTTTCTCCAATATTTCATAGTCCGTTATTCGCGGCAGTGACATGTTTCAACAATTATAAGGCCATTGATTAATTAACATGAAAAGTTTAAGCCTATGTGTGTTTTAGGCATTTGCGTTAGCTTTTGGAAATACCATAACAATATAAATGACAATCACAGTAAAGATCTACACTCAGCTGATGGGAACGGCTGTCGATTGTTACAAAACAGTTGCGCCACCGTTCCACGGCGTTCAGCAATGCAACGCTGTGCCAGCGAATGGGCAGCACTTTTGTGATTCAGTGTGTTTGTTGTTGATGCGTAGCAAAGCAACTAAATTTGATTTTATTTCAGGTAAATAAATGGATAGCCTGAATTAAAAACGCGCAAAACTGTTATAAGTGTATAATGATGCATACGAAATCAAACTCAATTGCTACTTATGGGCTAACGATTTATTAACACTAGCTCGTCAAGCCAACACGTTTAAGCTGGGCTTCAGCTTAGAAATTGACACACCCAAAACAACAAATTAATCAGACACGCCCGTTAGCATCGAAAATGTGATCACAGCTTATATTATTTAATTTTCAGCTATCCGTGTTTAGTGAATGCTTGAGCATATTTCATTATCCTGCAGCGCGTGACGTCACAAAAAAGGTTTGAAAATGAATTACGGCCGGAAAACGCCCTCGACCTACCGATCGAATCCCTCGATGTACTCCCATGCCACGGGCAGGTATGCAATACAAATTTGTAACCAGGATCAATATAATGAAAGGTGTATTCCTACAGATCCTCTACAAACCTACATTCGAAAATGTCGCGTTCCACGCGAAGCGTACGCATTCCCTGGTACCAGAGGCCCCTCCTGAAGAACAATCAATACATTGACATACAGAAAGGTGCGATGCTTATAGGCCTATTTGCTGTAGTAAGTTTGTGCGATGATAAGCTTCGGCACGACAGCGAATTGACTGTATTTCTTTGCCCCGTAGTTTCTCTCACTCTTTACCATTGGCACTACCATCTTTGATATCTATTGTTATGCCATGGCTGCTCCAGGATCCACCCATTATGGCTACTATATCATATCGTACGAGTTTGTGTATGTTGGGAACAAGCACGGTATATATATATATATATATGGCTTGATTTAATTGCAATCACCTAATCATATGTTTCGAATGTTTTCTAGTACGCAACATGCTAATTGTATTTGCTTTATTCTCGCTTATTATGGCGCTCATCAACTTTGTCACCAGCATCTTACTGTGCGTCGCCTTGCGTAAGGTAGGTTAAATATTTAGTTGGGATTGGTTTGGCAAACATTTCACTCTCATTTCACTCATGCCTTAAAGCAAAATATACTTGGAGCACAAAAAAGGTTACTGAGCAAAAGGGTAAAAAAGCATCTAACATAACATTATATCTAAATTTTTAATCGACAAATTCGCAGCAAGCTTCCTAAACTATTTGCTTATTATTTTTAATAATAATAAAATGTTCTCTTTTCATAGGAATACGAAAGAAAGGTGCTGCCCTGGCTGTGGACCTTTGCCATCTTCACCGTTTGGCGCGCCTTGGCTCTAATATTCTTTGCCATTGTTAATGATTTGTATTTTGCCTACAATATCATAATGGTACTGCTTTGGAGCATCTTTTGTCTGGTTTCCATCTATGGCTGGGCCGTTGTATATTCGCTGTTCCTGGAACTAGTAGATCTTACTAAGCTCGAAGATCTGGCGCACTTACGTGTAAGTTACTTGCCGTCAATTGTCGTCTAATATCATAAGAGCTAACTGTTCAACTGGGTCCTTTCAGATGGGCACCATGGCCTCGCTGCACGCATCCACAGCTAACTCTCTGGCTGGCTCGCGTCCCACAACCCCCCACAGTACTGTGTCTACAATGCCAGTGGGCTAGACAATGTGCTACTAACATTCCAAGCACAACGATACCGTCCGGCGGAGTGTTACACAAGGACACCGTTCCACACTCACCAGTTTAGTGCCTTAGATGTGTTTAAACAGTGTCTAGTACATATCAAAAACGAATTGCAATTGCAAATTTTTTTACATGAATGCAAAGTATTTATATTTAAGTCTCATTCCGTCCATTTACATACATATATGTATATGTAATTATGTTTATTTAAACAATCTTGTTAATGAGATCTTTATCGAATTATGTGTTTAGATGTCATATTTGTATACACAGCAACCGTCATTTGTAACAACAATTTTTTAAAGCATTTTGGATAATTTCTACATTTTTCTGCCAATTTAGCCTATCGCCTGTTTAAAGGAAAAAATTAAAAAATATGTTTATCTTTAGTAAATTGTGTAATCAAAAATGTTTCAATTATCATCTATATGTATAAATGTTGTGTTTTCCTGACTGCATTTTGATTAACGCCTTGTGGTAATAATTAAAATTTCCACAACGGGAATTGTTTGGGAAAAATTATACTTTAAATTAAAGCAACAACTTGGGCAAATCGACTATGCTTTTTGATAATATAGATGATGGTGTACCCGTTTAGGGTTTATCCTAAACCTTCTACAAAAACTAGATGCTCAAGCATTACACTTTTTTCTAAAAATGTCTAAGAACATTTTTTTTAAATTTCTTATTGGATAAAATAGCTACTAACAGTAAATAAATGATTGATTTTAAAAATATTCCAAATAATCCAACGTGTTCTTTAATAACAATAATATTTATGGTCCTTAGTCAATTTTAATAACATTTCCTGGAGATATTCGTATGCCCACAAAATGGAAATAGCCTTGAAATTGTGTCTTGCCAGTTTGGGCGTTGCTCCAATTGGAATTTATATTATTTGATTTAAGGGCGATTGTTCCCATAAAATTAAATTTTTCCATATACACTATGCTAGAAGCTATATGTCGCATTTGCTGACTAGTAATTAAATGCTACAATATATGCGTATTATAGATTATTTTAAACAAAATTATACTAGGGTGATGCTTTCTTTTGCGTGTTGCATGTATTTGCGCAAGGTTTTACCTTAAGGGAATAAAATGGTATCTTTAAAATGTTTGGTCACACCGAAAACAGAAATATCGTTTCCAGCCAAGCAAACAGCTTTTGCTCATCAAAAACCTAAATAATGATTATTGTACAGGAAATTGGGGCAATTGCCAGGCACTCGCCCGCAGCTAAACCCACATGAACATATGAGCTTCAACGATCTCTATCAACTAATACCACACACGAACTGGGATATTTTTTAGTTGAAATATAAACCGTTGCTTTCTTATCCGTCTGAATTTTAATTTCCAAAAAATATGTTAATAAACGAAATAAATAAGAGTTTTTGGTAAAAGCCCAACCAGGGAACAAAAGGTGTTAGCAGCGCTTGCTGCAACTAACTTTCGCTTACATTTCAACGCCGATTCAATGCACACGCATGCATACATATACATGTATGTATGGACAGTATAAATACATACATACATGTGCATACAAAACATGTACATATGATTGCTTTTGTTTCTCTCACTACGCAATTTCGCAAAACTCGCAGTTTGATATATTGCTCGTCGTTGTCAAGTCATGCTAGATATGCCTATGCTGCTCTCCCTCCATTCGCCACTCGTTTATCTCTCGCAGCTGTTGATCGCTGCAACGGTACATATGTATCACTGACTACGCGTCTCGCACCTGTCCAAGTTGAATGCCCCAAAGCAGAATCGGGTAAGAGAATGCACTCAGTGCTATTGCTAACATAGCGCTCAATTTCGTTCCCGACACGTTTATCAACCTTGCCTTAATTTGGTTTCTCCCATCGGTCTTCTACGCAGCGCCGCATTTGCTTTGTGCTCGGACAGTAACTGCGCATTTCCATTGAAGCAGTAATGTGGTTCGCTTGTATCATGCCTGCCAGACAGATACGATGTATAAAATGCAACGCTACTTCAACTCTGTTCAGATGTCAGACCCTCTCTTAGATTGCTTTGTCTGTTGTTGTTGTGCGTGGGGCGCGTCGTTCACCTCTGTAAAACACCCCCACATGCTGTGGCAGCAACAGAAAGGCACACATACATATGTACATACGTACATGCACACCAGTTTATTTAGTTGTCTATGTTTCGGGTTTTTAAGTTGTGTTGTTGCTCTCATTTGCTGTTAAATGGTGGCAAGCGAGTTTTTCACCACGGCTGCTTTCTGCGCTGTTGGTGACTAATTGTTGTTATTGCTAAATTTTGACTTTGCTCAATAAACAATGTTTTGTTTTTTTTTTTTTTCATCGTTGTGATCTTAATACTGACGAAATCAGGTGCTGCGTTTCCCAACTCCCTCTCATTTCAGGCTTCAGCCGTAGCTATTGTGCTTATCCCTTCAGGTGTACATATGTATGTACATAAAATACTTACAGACAACATGCGCATATGAAACAGGAAATTATTTTCGTTTTCTACAGAAAAGCTGCTGCCTGCTGTTGGTAGTCTTACATGTGCATATTTGTATGTACATACATACATACATATGTATATACTACACACATAGCTGTACATCCAAAACTATGCACACTTACTAAATCTACTTGGTTCATTCTTACATCTTACTTGTTTACTAGTGTTTAATTTTCTACTGAAAATATGATGTTAAATGCTTGCATGTTTAAACTTTAAACATTAAAGCACACATACATACATAGGCATGTATGTCTATTGTTCGAACATCGATGCGTGTATGCGTAAAATTGAAATATGTATATCTGTACGTAGATATGTATGTACGTACATGTCTATTAATACATATGTATGCATATACACATATATGTGTAATACGTACAAAAAATGTACACATGTATGTATACATATGCCTATTATTATTCCAATGCAATTACTCAATTACTGTTAAGCAGAAAACGAATCTTGGTTTTAAGCTACATGAATATGAATGTACAAAGGCATACGTAAATACAAACGCCAAAAACGAAAAACAAATTGCAGCCATCAAAAATGTTAACCTGTATAGAGAAATTCACCACTCCTTCGCAACGAGTACAATATTATATGAGAGCTCGTAATAAAAAAGAGCAACACCAGACACGAATTTTTTGTTATTTCCTGCTAAAAAACTTCGTATATACATATGTATGTATTTTATGAAATACGTAGATATTGAATTAAACATCATACATATTTAATAAAAGTGCGCAGTTTGCATTGATGACGCAGCAACAAAAACACAATGGCAATGCCAACAACATGACAATAACAGCAACTGCTCTCAATAGCTATCACCCTTGCTCTCTCGCACAGTTTACGTGGGGCTACAACATGGCGTCGTCGGAATTGTGTGGCCGCTGAATTTTAATTTTTAAATAACAATAAGTTGAATGTGTATAAATATAAACATATTAGGCACACTTTGCGTTTGTTAAATCATATATCAAAATAATAAAAATAACGTACATAACAACAGTTCAATTATTGAATGTTAGAAATTCGCTCTCTATCAGCCTCTCCCTTTCATGCACTGCATTGGTCTCTGAATGTGGTGGATCGACATAAACACATACATATGTACATGCACATACTTTGAGTGTATAAATGTAAAGGTCTGTTACTTGTTACAATCGTTATACTCTTTAAAATAGTAAAATAATTTTTTCATCAAGTATGTTACTCCGTGAGTGGGATATATCCAATCACTAACCAAACAAAAGAACATTGTTTGGTTAGTGATCCAATTCAATATTATGCATACGAAAACATACGAACTTAAATTTATATATGCATATTAAACGAATTATGAACAGATTGCTTTTAAATCTTAAGTAATGTACGTCTTCCATAGTTCTTGAAAATTTTAATTATGATAAATAATATAATAAAATTATTAAAAAGTAATATATGTAGCTAAAAGTTGCCTAATTGTTTATTATGTTTGCCGAGCTTTGAAAATAAAACAAAAGCATATCAGAAGAAAATTCAAATTTTCAAGCTAGCTTCAAAACAGTTTCTCTAAATACAACATTTTATGAGTAATGTACACGTATTATATGAAAAGTAAATATATTTACAAATTGGGCATTCTAGCTTTCAGGTTCTGTGCTTGTAAGAATTTGGTAAAGATCTCAATAGTAAGATATACTACATAAATATGCAGTCTCAATTGGATAATAATAATGTCGAATATTAGGGTGTTCAATCTGCGTCGCCCTGAAAATGCTCTTTCTAATTTTGATTTGTACATACATACATGCATGCATTAATACGTATTACATTTAAAAGCAGGTACAATGTTATGTTTAACAGGTTATTACATTGTTTACATAAAATTAAAAAAAAAAAAAAGGAGAAAACATTTAGCGCACATTATTTATTATTTCTCAAAATTTAGCCAATACTCTCGCATATTTATTGGTTTAAAATATAAATTGTGAACTTTACAGTGACTTTAATTGTTGGTTTTTTCATAGGTGGATTTTTTTTGTATTTTTGCATAGGTTGTTATTTAACTACTTATATTTAATATGGAAAATGTTTTGGTATGTATGTATATTGGTGTTTTGTCACTAATATGTGCCACATGTGTATATGTATGTACATATACGTACGAACACACAAGCACAGAATATTTCCTTGTGTTTTTTTTCACCACACTAGCCAAATTCTCTCTAGTTCGCACGCACACATTTGCCTTTATTATTTTGCTCACACTTCCGTCTAAGCATATATGTATGTATTTATATGTGTACATATATATGCGTCTGGTGTCTGAATGTTACACTATTCAACTCTCTGTTAAGTTTAACTGTTAAATAATTTACTAGAACTTTAATCTGTAGTTTATCTCTCGAGGTGTGCAAATTCAATTATTTCTGTACATATTTTGTTATATACAAATAAATATTCACAAAGCTTTGATACGCATTAAAAGAAAAGATTAAAATTGCCTCTGACAAGTCACTTTTGTGTTAACAGAGTGTGTTGAGGTAACAACATTGCACTTTGAGTATAACATACTCAAATTCATTTTTATTCGACTGTTTTGCGTTTTGCTTTGTCGTTTCATTCGTGCGTTGAACCTTGGAGACTTCACATCGAGTTTGGAGGATCAAATCCACGTTGGGTTTTGCTACAACTACAACTGTCATCCACAATACAATACACGCGCTGTGTCTCTGCTGCTTCGTCTGCTGGCTAGCTTTGTGTCTGTGTGTGCGTGCGCGCCGTGTTGATTTGGCATAATTTGTAAATAATCTTACAATTTTTGTTACAAATAATCGTCGAGCGCAAATTAAATGCGACTGTTTTAAATCCGCGCAAGCTTCGCTGCTAACCTCGCCGTCGTGTACGTTGTGTGAAAGAATATTTAAATTTATTTCAAATAAAAAGAAAGTTAACCGTAATTTGTGATATACATACATATATAATTTGTTTTTGCCCCTGTTTGTGCAATTTCTCATGAAAAGCTTATAATTTATCAGAAATTTTAACAAATTCGTATATGTGAAAAAGGAAAAAAAAAAAATCAACCTTCAATCAAAAAAAAAAAATTAATTTCTCACAACTGTGATTCAAACATAACTGGCGTTTTTGTTTAAAATGCTTAGCAATTTGCAATAACTACAAATAGTACAAGAAAGTAAGTGCATAACTTAAGCATTTCTGATGAAAAAAATTGTTTAATTTTCGCCTACGTTGTCGTACCACTCACACGCGCTTATTCACCACAATTAACAGCTAAATTTCAACATGAGCGCAGTACTGAGCTCACCACTAGTCGACCGTATTCATGCCCTCTCACTCTCACGCGCGCACACAAGCGTGTCCGTAGAATGTGTGATTGTGTTTGCGTGTGTCATTATATGCAATGTCATAGAACAGACGTTGCCATGTCGCGTAAAACAAAAATAAATCTCAGTTCAAGCGAAGAAAATGAAAGCCAAATACTGTTAAAATAGTAGTAGACAAAATACATAACCGCAATGTATAAACGTACATACCCCATCGAGTCAATAGAAAACTGCAACCTTCTCATTTTATTAGCACTTAAATATGTGTGCGTATGTACTATATGTTTCTACTGAACTGACAAGTGTGTTGTTGTTTTTATGTTTTTTTGACACTTTGTAAAGTGTAGGAAATTCAAACTTTCCCTACAATATCAACAGTTTTTCCTTGCCAAAGCAAAAAAAAAAAAGAGCTCTTGCTTTTTTCTTTGTCACGAAGGACGTGGCTGAAACACACACATTACATCGGTGTGACTGAAGGGCCAAGTACATATTTACGCTTACAAAGAAGTTTGTAAAATTTTGGTCGATTTTAATTTCACAGTCATATATTTGCCATTTATTATTTACATGTTCATACATAAGCAAGAATGCAAATAAATGCAGTTCGTGATTAAGAAATTTTTCGCTCTCACTGGATGACTCACCGCACATACATTTATGTACATTCGATGCATACATACATACATTAATGTACATCGATTCATACACACGCACATATACATACATATAAACACATACACACGCACATATACAAACATATCTACACACAAACGTACATACATTCAAACGTACATTCATACATGCATGCATGCATGCATGCGTGCATAAATACTAACACACCGAGCGAGTCATAGTACAAGTCAGCAGCAATATTTGCTTGGCACGCATCTACATATCTTATCAGCAGAGGCAGCGCATCACAGGCAATATTTTTTGTGGGCGCACATTTGTTTTCGATGAGGGCACCATTTTCTTGCCATATTCAAAACCAATTTAGACTAATTTGTGTCTCTGTGTGTGTGTGTGTTTGTGTTTGTGTACGCCTATTTGCATTTCTCTCTTTCGTTTGTGTTGTTACTGATAGACTGTTTTATCGTTTGTAGCTGCACTCGAGCGAGGGTTTTTTTTTTTGTGTGAAACTGTATAATTAAAAAAAAAAAATTAAGAAACATGAAAAATACAAAATATTCAGGTAAAGTTTAAAATAATCTTGAAAGTTTCTGACACTACATTTCGGAACTTTTTGGAGCTGTACCCAATTGTATATGTGTGCGAGTGCAACAGCAATTGGCACGTGTATTGTGTTTGGTTCTTATCGCCAACTGTACATTATCACAATAACGTTTTATACCCCACTGATGTACAGTTGCAAATAAACAAATTGTTGCACGTTGCTGCTATTAAAGTGTCTGTGTATTATCTACAGATGTACATATGTATGTGCATCAATGTATAAACATGATTAAAAAAACCGCTTGATGTAACCAGAGTTTTAGTGAAGGGTGTGCCTTATTGTCAGATACCCTGCACTTGAGTGTAAGAGTTGGAATCAGGTTTTTCTGCTTGTTTTAGTCATCGTTCACAGAACTTTGGAACAATCTGTGTCACATCTCAAATGAACTTCAATAGGGCTTTGGAAATAAGTTTCCCAATCAAATAAGGCATCTCATCAAATAGGGCGATTTCAGTTCATACTATGCGGTATGCGTTGCCCATGAATCAGTCTGTGAATGATTGAGTGAAACTATTTTGATAACCGTTCGATCAGGATCAAACTCCGAATCTATCCCTGCTTTGAAATTCGTGACAAAGATTTGAGAGAAGTTTCGGGTTTAAATTCACTTGAGACGTGTTTGAAGCTTTTGATAAAACCCAAACATCTATAAAGAATTATGTGGATACAAAGCGTTACATTCAAAAAATGGTCGATCTTGAAAATTCCACCCGCAAGCGTGGTAAATTGGCGGAAAAGGGTTATATGAGACGATTTGCTTTATTGTACCGATCGATCACTTTGATCATTGTGTTAGATTATATTATTTCGCGAAATCTCTTCATCCCTCACTTATGAAACATCCGGGTCAAAGGTTGTTCCATCTTTTATATCTTCATTTTATGGACTTCAGACTAGTTTTCAATTATTTGTGTTACATATAACTTAATGGATAAATCTAAACTTTCCACAGCCGGGAAAGGTGTGAAAAAGATGTACCTAAAAATTGAGCAAAAAACTTGACACTATCTACAAGTGTATATATATGTATTAATCATGGTTCATTGATCTGGACTCGAGTGTGTTTTTTGTCCGACAGATCGAACTTTTAAGAACTTCAAACGCGATGACTAATTTTAAGCAGAAATTGTTTTTGCTTACCATTCAAAAGTCCATAAACAACACGTGTCATCTGTTAAAAAGTATACATACATATACTGTTTGCTATAAATTTATGCAAATTAAATATATAAACATTACACATTTAAATACCTATGTGTGTGTTAGAACGTGAACGGAACATCCACGTACAACATACATTCACAGACACACATGTCTGTGTGTATGTGTATAGTCATGATGACGAAGGCAAAGCGAAGAATTAGCTGAAAACAAACAACTCGCCCGTTTCGTTTCCGTTAGCAGCGTCTCCCGTTTACGTATGATTGTACGTCTGTGTATGTGAGCTAATTATTAGCTTTGCTGTTGCTATACCCTGTGCAATTGAACTATGGTTTCAATAGGGTATAATGAACGTTTGCAAACACAAATATGTGTAAGAGCCAGATGAAACTTCGTAATTATGAAGAGTAGACATATTATGTATGTGCCCTTACATACTTACATATTATATATATATATTTAGAGGGTATTTCCTAGTCGCGCACTCTCTTTTTGCAGTCGCGATACGTTTTCCTTCTTATGTGCTGGCGTTTCTCTCTGGCGGCTCTCTTGCTTTCAAACATACTTACAAACACACACAAAGAGCTGATAAGTGCGCGTCACCGTCGACGTCAGCGTCAGCGTCAGCGTCAGCTGCTCGGCCTGACTCTTGTCTCCGCCGCCATAGCGACGCGTGGATGGCCACGACCTCATTTTTTTCTGTTAGTTTGTTTTTAGGTCGCGTGCAAATGGTCAGCTCGCCCCCATTACCCCTGCCGCACTACGCACTGACTGTGATCGCCGTCGTCTGACCTCGCTCCCACTATATCTCTGGCGGGAGCTTTTTTACGCTAAGCGCAAATCAACAATACCCCGTGATATAGAAGCTCTTAGTTTTTATCTGTATTTGTGTTTTGTTTTTTTTTTGTCTGTTTGAGTTATTTTTAGTCGAAATCCGCTCTACTTGATCTTGTATAAATACAGATGTATGCATATACGTATACATATGTAGCTATATTGTTGTGTTCTGGCTTCTCGTTTAGTTTTCATTTGCTAAGTTATGCAATTTATTTATTTATTTATTTATTTGTTTTATGAATATGCCTGTCTATTCGGTCATACATATGTGCATACATTTGTCTATATGTATGTTGCATTCGTGCATTTCGAATTTTCAGTATTATGCCTTAAATATTTACAAATCCATTTGTCTGAAGACACGAAATTTGAAGCACATCAATTTCATTTATTCCTGTTTCCATCTCTCTTGCAGCGCAATCTTTGCAATCATTTCACTTGGGGCTTAGTTTTTAACGTAAGTAATGTGTATGTTTGTCCCAAACTTTAGATGTTTACCCAAGACATATATAAATGTAAATGACACAGTCATTTTTGTTTAAACAACTTTTACACGAAAAGCGTGGCAGCTTTGTATTTGCGTACCCGTTTTTCAGCACAGTCATAATAACAGTACTTCTTAGCATATTCACCACATCTGGCTTCTTTGGCTTTGGCAAGCGTCAACCCTCCTCTGCCCTCCCTTCTACTGTTAGCTATGGAAGATGAAAATCGAAACTTTTGCCTTTTTCTCTCTCTTGTCTTCTCGCCTGTCTGCCTTTTGCCTTGATTCTTTGTCGTTTTCGTTACTCTGGCAAATGCCTCGCCCTGGTCCTCTTTGTCTCCATGCAGTTCATTGGCTTGCATCAGAGCTATGTACACATGTATGTGAGTGATGTATTTAATGAATATCAATGAAATGAACGATTTGCGCTTTGTTGTTAATGACACGCCTCTAACTCCCACAAAGTTGACGTCAACATCACTGAGTATGTCGTCAGCTCTACGCTTTAGCCTTCAGCTGGTGCTGCAAAGGTCAAGCCCCAACGGCAAAGTTCAATAACACAAAATGGTAGTCAGAGAAATATTGCTAGTTAAATTCCGAGGCTTCCGCGTTCTGTTGTTTTCATGATGTCTGTTGTTTTGTTTTTGTTGTGTTCCATTATTGTCGGCTAAGCATCGGCGTCAGTCATTTCTTAAATTGTCGCTTCTGACTCAGGTATTTATATACTTAAACCTCTGAAAAGCCTTAGTGGATTTTAACGACCTACACCGTCCGAAAGCAAATAGGATAATAGAGGTACACAGATATAGGTAAGGTAAAACGTTTTTTGGCTAACCATATTGTGATTAAGACTAATTAATTAATTTCCACTTTAAAAAAATTGAATGAACATCCATCTATCTTTATAACGATTTATTGGATTTGATAATGTATATCAGATGACTCAAATATTAAAATCTGTCTATATATAAGTCGATTATGTAGGATCTAAGAAACAACAAATAAGAGGTATGGAAATTCCCGACTAGGGGATCCTCTGCACCCTCTTCTAGCAACACCAAGTGTGGCTCGCGGTACAAGCTCGTTTGCCTTAGCAGTAATCAAAACAGATTGACAAATAAAATTATTCCCCTCTATAGGACTCGAACAGACCGGACAATCTACTTGCAACCGCCTTAACCCAACAGCCACACGAAAATTGCAATTTTATCGAGAAAAAAAAACGGATTAAAATAGCAGCACAGAAAACAATACAATCGTAATTGTATTGCTGTTCATACAATTCAATGAAGACTCGTGTGCATGTGTGTGTATATGCATACAGAAATTGTTGCCAAAACACATATTCATTAGTAACTTCTTTGAAATTTTCAACAGAAGATGTTATTGTACCATAGAATATTTGTATAATCTCAAAAAGTCAATTGCATTAAAATTATGGCGGAAAGTCTGTAGCTGTTAAGTCTAGCTCTTGATTCTGAGATGCTTGCTTTCATACATACGGACGGACGGATAGGCAGGCGGACATGGGTAGATCGACTCAGTTATTGATAAATAAATAAATAAGTTAATAAATAATAATTACTTTATGGGGTCGAAGATTTTTCCTTCTGCCTGGTACATACATTTGCACAACTTCATTATACCCCTTTTACCCATTTTAAATGAATTCAGGGTATAAAAAGATCCGTTCCGTTTCACAAATTGCTTATTCTTCTTCTTGCACCCACGAAAATGACGGCCACGCCCCACGATCTTCGTGGTGGTTGGTTGACAACGTGAACCTTGTGCTTGCATCGAACCTTATTCTCACTCACTTGCTGTTTCCTCTGCCTCTCTATTCCAACAGCTACTCTTGCAGTTTTTCTCATATTTCACGTTTCCATGCGATATCCATAAATCTTCTACGAGTGTGTGTGTGTGTGTGCGGGTAATTGTAAAGTGAGTCGTCGGCTCCGACACAGCATGGCAACTTGAGAATTTAGAGGTTACACGAGCGAGGGGTTTTTCTCAATACACACATGCACTGACTGTGTAAGTGCACACCTTGCCGTTTAGTTTGTGTGTGCACATATGAACGCCTTGTCAAGACAAGCATTCGAACGATATTATTATTACTATTATTTTTTATATTGTTTATAGACTATGAATTCACAACGCGCACATTTACGTGAACATAGTTCATGCAAAATAAGTGATGTCTTTAGCTCAAAAAAACTACGCTCAGTAATTGAAGAAAGAGAAACAGAATCTAGTACAGACTCGATCTCTTAACAAAAGCATGCACCGAAATTGATGATCTTCATTAATTATTATTCCGTCATTATCTCATACAATCATATATGCGAAGATACATTTATACATGCCCGGTACATACTAAGTTACAGATGTAGATACATACGTTAATAGAAACATGTACCGCACACAGAAGGGGGGTATCCGTCTCTCAAAATTTATATTGAAAATATTCACATTTGTAAAACTAGCATTAAGGAAAACTCTGCTGACCAATGAGCATTGATTAATAAAGTTTTAAGACTATTAAGCGCCGCCCAACTAAAAAGTTTACAAATTACAATTATTTATTTTTTTCTCTGTGCATGTATGTGTGCACAGAAGTCTGTGTGATTCTTTAGTTATGTCGGCTGCTCGCCATGTTGTTGATGCTGTTCCCAGCATCTTGTGCTCTTTGTTTTGAGAACAGGGATTTTTTATACGCTTGCAGAGAGTATTATAATTATGTCTCGAAATGTGTAACGCATAGAAGGAGACATCTTCGACATCATAAAGTCAGTATCAACAGCGAAGTCGATATAACCATGTCAGTCAGTCTGTTTCTATGCAAACTAATCTCTCCGTTTTAAAGCTATCGTTATGAAACTTTGCAGAAATCTCTCTTTCTATATGTCGGAACGGGCTGGATCAGATATGTACTCTAAACAAAAATATTCTTATCTAAGGGTTGGGGTACAGTGGATTTTGAGTCTACATATTCGACTACAGCGTTTTTATATGCTTGTTGCAACATTTTTATGTTTATTTTATCCTTAAGTCGGTTAAAATATTGACTCTCTAATTTCCGTTAATTTGTACTGCCTTCCAGCCATTTAAATTGCCACTCATTTTTAGCTAAGAATTATGATTGATTATTTTTGTGTTCAAAAGTGGATACCCCTCATATTTCGTTTGAGGCCTCATTCACCAATTGTAGCCGGAAGAGCATCGCATTCTCGAGCGCGACTTTTAAATCCCACAAGCAAGGCTCAGATGGCCGCCATGTTGTTTTACTCGCTCTCTCTCTCTCTCTCTCTTTAAATTCAATGTCTGCTGGAGGTGATGTTGCTCCTCTGTGCATTTCATCAGCTTCTTTCTTGAAGTCGACGCTTCTGTATGTTATGGCTGGGGCTGAACTCGCTCATTAATATGGAAATATGACTCAAACGCTGGCCCCATGCGTATGTGTGTGTATAATTTGGGATTTCGTCTGTGTAGGTGAGAGTGTGTGTTAGTATGGCCAGTCTGCCTTTGTTCTTTACCTTTTATACTCACCCCGTTTTCTTTCCTGTTGTAAATTTCGTGTTTTAAATGCAGGTCAAAGGCACATTAACCTTTACGTTGTTGGTATTGTGCGTTCATTACCGTTTTGATATTGCAGTGGAATCTTTTTTAAATTGGCCATTGCAGCGTTGTTAATTATTTACTTTGTTATGTGAAAAAAAAGGCAGCTTAATTGTCTGGGCAGATCTTAAATTTGGGATCATTTGGGAAGTTCGATAACTTCATCACGTCTGGGGTATGGCTTTACATATGCATATGTATGTACGTAAATGCGATGTACAACATGGATATGCACAGATTACTACTGTGCAGGGGCTTATCAAGTCGAATACTCCCGACTCTAGCACTAACTTGTTGCTGTCGCGACGCAGCAGACGTTTGCTTATGTTGTTGTTTGTTTTGCACATAGTACTTGGCAATGCTATGTATTTGTTATGCAATTTTCACAAATGCGCATTTGGCATACACTCGCTCTCACATACATGTGCATATAAAAACACATACATACATTTGTACATGGGTTGCTAAGCAACTCTGGTGTGTTATATTTTAATTCTCATGTGGGCAACCGTGACGTCACAACAAAGCAAGCGACAGATGTCGTCATCACTTAATTGCACTTTAGAGGCCGAAATAATAAATGAAATTAGAATTATAATTATATTTATTTTAAATCGGTTAAAATCGAAATTTCTATAACAAGATAAAATGCCAGCATTCGTACATATGTTCAATACGAATTTATATACATTTGCACATGTTTAAGAACATATCAAAACAAAAAACTATCGATAAGTAAATGTACAATCGTAATTTTTGTTTAATTGCAAGTAAATGAAATGCATAACAGGGAATAGCAGGTCCAGCTGTCCATTTAGCAGGCCGTATCTACTGCTGCGTATTCTGTCTAACAGATGGACATACATATGCACATATGTATGTATGCATGCGCAAAGCAGAGAGAGAGTGTGAGAAAGAGAGTGAGAGAGAGAGAGAAACGTATCGTTGACAGACAGCTGTTTTGGTTTTCAATTAACCGCAACAGCAGGAAATCAACTGCACACATTTGTATATACATTAAAGATTATACATATGTATGTAAGAAATTAAAAGAACTCGCATGTCACTTATTGTATTTTTAAATTTGGCCAGTGTTTATGCACTTAAACGTTGGTAGATATACGTATTCTTAAAATATTCGGAAAGCTAGAGAAGCAGGATATGCTATTTCCGAGGGCGTATCGCTTCAAAAATGCATTATGTAGAAATTAAGTACGGTTTTGCACTTTTTATAAAAAATATAACTATAACACTATTTTTAAAATTGTAGAAAATTATAGAAAAAAATATAATAATTTATTTGATATATACAAACCACACACATGTGTGAAGCACCTACACATGCAAACGTGTGTATGTAAGTGCAATGCGTGCAACAACAGAGGCCACCTTTAACACTGACTGCAACGCTTTAACATTGCTGTTATTTGACAGAATACTATGCGTGAGCGCTAGTTTGTACTTGAATAAATAAATAAATTAAGACCTGTCGAAGTTTAATTTGTCAGATACTTATTATCGATTTTATGACACTTATTATTACACTTGTTTAGCTGCAACCAGATTATTAGCTGTAAAGTTGCTCTTGCAATTAGTTGAATATGAATATGTAAAATGTAGTTATGTGCAAGAATCGATATAAAGTAACACAATATCGATAGTTTGAAATATCGATACACCGTCGATATAGATTACTTTGCAGCTGGCCCGAACTGTTTGTGTTAGTAAAATTATAAAATAAAACTTGTTTAATTTGCTGTCTATCTATTGAGTCGTATATTTTATTTCCCTCTCTCTCCCAATGTCTCTCTTTCTGTCTCACTCTCGCCTGCTGAAGTGCATGTCTGTGTGACGGATAAAACTGGTTTGATCTTAACATATTTCTTTGCTTTTTTGTGGCATGTATGTGTATAAATTTACTTATGAATGTGTGTGTTTACCTGTTGACAGCCTTGAAGAGAAACTAAAAAACCAGATGTAATTTTGTTTGTTTATGGCACAACTCAATCGTAACTTTTGTGCTCTTTAACTCGCTCCGAAATGCGTATTTTGTGTGATAATTTGTTGCATCGTTAGAAAATAAGAGTGCCCGCACTTACTGCAAATTATTTCAAGGCTCGTCGGATTTCTTAAGACATAATATATAATATCTATTCATTTTACCCACAAACGAAAAAAATCTATAAATACTGGGGCTGAGCTGTGTTTTGCACGCGCTTTCAGTATTTTTTAGTGTATTTTTCTCCACGCTGTTTAGTTACATTTCCATTGCGTTCGCTTTACAGGTTTACGATTGGATTAAAAACTCTGTTTGCTCCGCGTATGTCACGAAGCAAACTAATTACTTGGACGGAAGTTAGTTAAGCAAAGAGTAATACGAACATATACGTAGCAACAATAATAAACGGTCGAAAGGAGAGGAGTCGAAGTTGCTGACGCCGCAGCTGCAACTGGAAATAACCGCAACATATTTCGCTGGGCGAAAGTCAGCAACAAAAAAGAGAGTAGACGATACCATTGTCGATCCATCGTTGTCCAATCAACTTTTTAATTCACGCACACACACCCTTCATAAAATTGGTCCAGCCAGCATGGAACGTGAATCGAATCCAATGCAACCCATGTGCCGCTCTGGATGCGGTTTCTATGGAAATCCAGCCACAGATGGTCTGTGTTCGGTTTGTTACAAGGTAAGTATATTAACCACCTCACATTTGATTTAAACCATGAATCATGATTAAAATTTCTTTCCATCTGCAGGACTCGCTTAGAAAAAAGCAACAGCCACCTGTGAGCAGCACACCTGCCTCAGTTCCAAGCCCACAACCTAGCCCTACATTCAGTCCGGCCATTGCAACAACCAACACCGCACAGCCCACGGTACAGAGCTTACAGCAGTCACACAGTGATGTAAAAGAGGTGAGTGTAAGGTTTGCTGCTCAAGCCATTGATGTGGGCTTTCTTGTTCCAACTCTTTCAGTAGGCCAAGCAATTTGTGGATGCCTCTGATATCTTTGTATTTTTCATCAGTCAGTCACAAATTTTTTTTTGTTTTTCGGATATAAATTTAGTCTTCTTATAAGTGAAATAGTCTAAACAACTTGTATGTGTAAAATATAGAAAAAGTTAATTGTAACAGTGCATCGTGTGTGTTGGCTGTGCTGGCTGTGCTGGCCACGTGTCGCTGCAGACTACGGTGGAGTTGACAAGGTAATCCAAACAGAGATCCATGTCTCTCACATTGCTGCTCCTTAGGAACACCGCCATCTGATAATTTTGACAATACGACTGATTGGCCGTTAGAGGTGTAATTAGCAAGTATTATATTTAAAATGTCAATGGAATGCTTTCTACAGCTTGTAGATTTGTAGATACCATAAAATGTTTAATATTTCCAGTAAAGATGGGATCTATTAAAAGCATAGTTTTATTACCATAATAGAATTTTAATGGCTTTCGTCTGCGAAAAGCGAAAGTTAGATCCAACTTTTGCTTTTAAAGTTTGATTGGTATTGTTTTAATCTAAATTTAATCTGGGCGTTCTGTCTATATGTCCATATTTCCATTTTAATATCCTTTTCCTTTTATGCTTTTAATGTTTTTAACAAGCTAGGTTTTTATATATTGCCTTATTGTTCTTCAAATATTAAGCTAGTTATCAACTTTATCAGACAAGCATATATTATATTTAGCGTTAAGTTTGGAATTCTAAATTCTGGAATTCTGGGGAGAGCTATCTTGACCAAACTCGGCATAAACTATTTTCCCTATGCTTCTTAGATACGCGCAAAGCACTTTTCGGTATAGTTGAAGTTTTGTTAAAATAGGGAGTAAGAGGACTCCAGAACGGGCAAAAGGACTGGGTTTCTACTACTACTATAATAAATTTACACCAAATATTTACCTCTGTGATAAAATTGAATATGTATAGAAGTGCCTTGAACTTAAAATCAGAGGCATGGGAATAATGTGAAAATTGTCAGTCATATTCGAAACAGAATCTAGTGAAACAACCTTTGGCTTTCTTTCAAAATTTTCAAGGAAAATCCCAAATTCGAAGGAATGCTCAATTTAAGTGGTTCCCTCAAGCCATCAGGGCGTAATGGTGCAACTACTTCAACTTCAACAGCTGTTAGAATGGAGGGCAGCACATGCTCCATGTCGTCGACAGCGCAACGCCGGCGTAAGAAGCATTCCCGAATAGCGCGTGTCTCGGCTGGAGCATTGGCTCCTGCCATCAATTTGCCTTTACCAGTGAGACCAGGCAGCACACTTACGGCAAAGGGTACACGTTGCTGTTTTTATCTCTTAGGCGTTGCGCAGTCGCACTAATCTTGTTTCCCTACTTGCTTCCTTCCCCTCCTGCGTGTCAATACGCTTTATTAGCAGACGGAGGATTCCGCAAAGGAGACAAGGGTATTGCCTCTAGCTCTGGTGTCAAGTCAGCTCGTATTCCGCCGTCTTCAAACTTAGCAGAGAGTCAAGATAAAAAGACTTCACTGTTACGCAAAAGCGCCGGTGCAACTGAGACATCGAACGCAAAGGGTGGTAGAGCCGAGGCTAGCGGTTCCCGTAAAGTTAAGTTTTCGGCAAACGTGCACACGTTTCCGTCCAACACCAGTAACAAAAAGGCGCGCATCGGAGAGCTGCAGCTTAAAAAGCGAATCAAGAAGCTTAAGCGTAACCATCCGCGATCGGCGCTTGGCGACAAGAGTGTCGCCAACAAGATTGATTTGTCCATTACACAGCAGCCCAACACTGTCCTTAGCAGGGACGTGCAGCATTACGGCACAATTATAGACGTGGAACCCGTTGCGTCGGCACGCGGGCGCAAGTCAACTAGCGAAGCTCCTAAAGCGCCAGTAGCTGGCACGTTTCGCAAGCCCAAGCAGCTGCTCAACAAAAAGGTTAAGAAAGCGCGTATCAAGGCTGGAGCAAGCAATCGTCAACCGATAGTAGTGAACAGTAGACCTGCTCCTCGTTTGGCCTACTCTGTACAGCCTAACGTAAAACGCGATACCTTCCTCCCTATAAGCAGAGGCAAAACTAAGCCAGTGCCCGGGCGCGTACTATAGCTGCGCACTAAACGCCTACATTCGATTTGCGTGAGTGCGCCATGGAACAGTCTAACGGTGATAAATCCGAGAAGCCGAGGCAGATGTCCGAACAGAAGCTGGAGCATAAGTCTGAGCCGCAGCCAGAGCCACAGCCGCAACAGCCGCCACAGCCGCCACAACAGTCGCAGCAGCAACACAGCAAGCGCCGCATAAACGACTCGAGCCTTATAGACGAATGTCCAATTAGTAGCGATCTAGTCCAGCATAGAAAACCTTCGGCAGCAGCAGACTCAGTTGATGCAGTTGCCAAGAAGCGGGTAAACACGCAGAATCAACCACACACAATGCTAACGCTTAGTTAGAAGTTTTTCTTGTTTAATGGGATGGGGTCGAAATCAACTTCACTTTGCAAAATAAAACGTAAAATATAATAATGGAATACATTTAAATTGCAGTTGGAACAGATTGTAGATATTTTGTTATTTTTGTTGTGTTGATTGGCGTTTGACTCACATTTTTTAATAATTTTATTCTCTTGCGATTGTTTAGAAAATCACTGAGGAACCCGCAGTCGCTGCCAAAACGAATAGTGAAGCCATAATATCGGCGTCTGGTCCAAATACTTCCACACAAGCAGCTGCCTCCGCCTGTGAGCAGGATGACAAGGACAAGGAAGATGACAAGGACGCCAAGAAAATGAAGAACCGATGTGGCGAATGCCGCAAGAAGGTTGGCCTAACTGGTAAGATTTAATACAAATGCGTTTTATCAATATTAATAGCCATTTCATCATGGGTTTATTTCAGGTTTCCAGTGTCGCTGTGGCGGCTTATACTGTGCCGTGCATCGTTATTCCGATAAACACAACTGCACATTCGACTACAGAGAGCATGGCGCCCAGGAGATTCGACGCAATAATCCGGTTGTAGTTGGCGAGAAAATCCAAAAGATTTGAATTGCGAGAGATTGTGCCAGTAACAGTAGCCGTAGAATAATAACAACTACATATTATGATAGTATATATACACACGCTACGCACCAACAAATCAATATAAACAACAACAACAACAACAACAACAAACAAAACTCCCAAACATAAGAAAACACAGTAACACGTATACATACACACACTCACACACAACACAATCACATGCACACACACACACTCACACACAACACAATCACATGCACACACACACATACACACACACATTACAAACACACCACACATACACATACATATATATTTATATACGCATATATGTATATAGATATATATGTAAATATAAATACTATAAATAATTGTAATTGTAATTTAATTATAATGTTAACAATAACAAGAAACAATAGTACGAAAACGTTAACCAAATACCACGCAAAACAACAACTACAACGGCAACTGCAACAATAGCTGCTCGGAATAACATCTATAAATTCATCGCAGTTGCAGCAACGACGAAAGTAGGAGCAGCAGCAACAGCAGCAGCACCAGCAGCAAGATCAACCACTATCACGACACATACAGCATCATTCTAACTTGAACCAGACGCGTATGAGCGCGTTAGCAAGCACCAATCGCCGCTAACTGCTGTGACCTACGACCTGTAACATGTAGCTGAACGATTGGTAGACCATTTAGATGTTATTCCAAATGCAAGTTTCACATATTTTTTTGTATTCGATGCTTCGTCAACAACACAACACATACGATTTCCAACAACAACAAAAACAACAACAAGAAAACACGCATGTGCAAATTGTTACCAATTACACAAAAGAAGATAAATTTTATGTAGACAACGTGTGTAATTTGTGTTTGTAATGTGTTGCATATATGAAAAGCAAACTAAAAAAGGCAAAATACAAAAGCAAGCAAACAAAAACCACTAAATCTAAATTTAGACCCCACAGCAACAGCAGCAACAGCAAACCGCTTAGAAAACTATTTCATAATTTTTAATTATTGATTGATTAATTATGTATGTATATGTATTAAAACTAAAAACCAAACAAAAAACACAAAACATGAAAAGCAAAAAGGCAAAACAAAAAAATGTATAAAAATTCCTTTGGACAAATATTGAAAATGCAAAAAAAAAAAAACAGCGCAAAGGAGTGAAGTAGTTGGAGAGAGCAGCGTATTAATACTAAACATATAAAGTTCATTATATAATTAACTATATAAACAAAGAAGGCGAATGCAGTGCAAGTTGCGCGTTTTTCATTTTATATTTTTACTTTGGTCCGAAAACTAAAAGCGAAATATTTTACAAATAATTTTCAATCGTTTTGATTTTTGATGAACACATATATATTAATATATAGATATGTAAATAATGTCATATGCGCGAACATACTAGATTCTTTTGGGTATATGCACATTTAAACATAATAACGTTGCTAAACATAAAAGCCTGCAAACGTTATAATATATATGGTTTGTCGCTAGGTTCTTATTGCTTTAAGCGTTATTTAGTTTTTCTTCGTTTATGTTAAAAAGAAATTAACGGGCATACATAAAAGTTATTTTAATTTTGCTTTCTTCCTTTTAGTAATTAACGATTTATTAAATCCAATTACAATAATACACCTGTAGATATAAATTTTGTTGTTAGCATTATTCAAGCAAAATGCAAAACAAAAGAAAAAAAAATCAAATAAAAACAAATGAGGTAAATGCAATAAATTTTAATGTAAAACTTGAAAAAAAAAATCAACGCAGAACCATTTTTGGCACAGCTATTTGAGGAAATAAGCAAAAACAACTATCAGAAATAGGCTACTTGAGAAAGCATGAACCAATACCTCAGGACAGAGGGCAAAGAAGCCCGGGGCAAGGTGAATGCTTTTATATGGTTGCAATATTAGATGGCTGCATCAATGCGTCTGCTATATTGGTTTATAGATCTTGTTTTTGGGTTAGTCAAGTAGTCAATCTACTAAGCTCTGATTTAAGCGATATGTTTTGGGCGCCTTCTTGTGGATAGACAACTTTAGCGGACCTGGTAAAGACAAACAACTTGAACTTGAATAAAAAGCACAACCATATACAATAAATAAAGTTTCAATAGAAAAGTCAAAACATAAATCTGTACAAAACCAGCAACTTAATCATAATTTTAACCTAACAAAAAGCTATTGTAAATTTGAAAGAGAAACTAGGAACTGCTAATAAAAGAAAATAAAATATAGACAACCAACAAGAACAGCAAAATTGTCATTTTAATTTAATCCAAGTTTATTAGTTGTTTAAATTGAACTATGTCTGAAACTTAAAAAAAACAATATACATGCTACACGAACGTATATCATAATTCAATAATCACTTTAAAATTAATTAGTAAAATTGTATGCATTAAAAAGTAAACTTATTCAAATATACACACACACACACACACACAAACAAAATAAAATCTAAATACCAGAATAATGCTGAGATCCCGTATCCAAATGAATCTGGGTCTGCATAGATCAGTAAACGCTATTGGGGCTGTTAGGGGTCCAGATATCTGGCCAACTTACAAACACGTGCGCGTAAAGAAAACCCAAATTAAAACGAGTTCGAAATTGGTTTTGATTTTCTTGAATTAGATATAGTTTATAAAATTATATTTTGAAACGCTTCAGTGTGTTTTAGTTCAAATTGTGTTTATGTTAATGAAAAAGTGAAAAGGCAAATAATTACTAATTAACCAAACTTATTATGTAAATACATATATATGCATACATACTTTTATCGTATTGTAAGCGCCATTAATTTTAATTGAAATTTTTTTATTCTATTTGCTGTTCTTTTATTTTTAATTGGAGTTTTGTCGCTTTTGCTGGACGCACTTCTTAGTCACTCTTGTGCTTATAAACTTAAGGACACTTTAAAATACATATATATACCAATTAAATTTGCGAATACATTTATTTAATCACATCTACCAAGATCGTTTTTTGTTCATATTTTGCAAATGTTAGCGCAATTTGACGACTATTGATTTTGGGCTTAAAACTTTTGTTGGCTGATTCAAGAAAAAAAAATAGTTGTAAAAACGTATAAAAGAAGTACATATATGAATAATGATACCAAGCACGAAACATAATTATAAATTTATATTATCTATATAATATAAATCTATAATATACTAATGTATAATTGTAATTAAAAACGTAAAACTACTGCAACAAATGAAAACACGTGAACATATATTTAATGACTAAATGGTAAAGCTAGTTTGAATCTAAATAGAAATACATAGTACATATGGAAACAGAGATATGGAAACGCATATAAGAGCAAGAACTATTTTAATTAACATAAACAAAGCATAACAAATACAATAACAAAATGACACTTTAAGAGTGCAGAGAAATAAAACATAAATTTATAATGAAGAAAAGAAAACACCTCAAGAAACACAAAGTAAGGAATAAATAATTTCAAATTTATACACACATAAAATATTTTAAAAATGTTGAATAAAAGGCGATTCTATAATTTTGAAAAACATCTGTTAATTTTTGATTTATTTTGATTTTGAATTTGCCCAATCAATGTAGTCCCCGCCCAGGTGCTAAATAGACTAGACTAGACTGCAGGGAATTTCTTATGACCGATTGACAATTGGCATTTGGGGTAAGATTTCTTTAATAATTTGCATATTAACGCAATAGCATTATATTTATTAACCTAAATAAAGTCACAGAAAGTGTTCAATAAGTCAACAGGTTAGCAGTGAATCAAGTTTCCTCAAGTTATATTATAAATTAGTTTGCATACAATATTTATGAAAAACAACAACACCAAACAATTCAAGAAGTAAACTTTAATAGCTTACACATTTCAAAGAAATATATATATATTTTAAATAAATTTAAATATCAACATTATAAGCTTTACCAGCGAAAGAAAAGAAAGTATTTGAATGGCTAACATTGGCGTGGGAATTATCAAAAATAACTGAGGGAAAGTATATAAAAATGCTAAGCTTTAAGGTAAATCTAAAATGAAATATCTATACAAAATATATAAAAAGAAACAAATTAATAAATTATAATATAGAGAACACAGCGGAACGGAAGCAGCATTCACATGCAGATAAGATACATACGTCTTAAGTATAAATGCATATATATATCTATATATATGTGTATATATATGAATATCTGATAAATGAGAAATTGCAAAAACTGATATAATTATACATAAGTAACAAGAAGTAAAACAAAATATAAAGAGAAAGAAATTAAACTAATAAAGAGAATTATTCTGAGAAATCTAAAACTACTGAAAAATATTTGAAATTTTACCAAAAAAAAATTAGACGATGCCCGCGACTTCTTGTGGCTACCGCATTTTAGTGACGAACCTCATTTGTTTAATTTGTACAATTAATGAATGGCAATCATCAAATCAGTCTCACACCCTCCAGACTTCAAAAGCTTGCCTTTAAGGGCCAGCGAATTGTGGAGTTTTCTCTCGAATGGCCAGCGGGAATAATTTCCAATCAGCTGCAATTTTGAGTACACCACAACCCGCTGCCGTGTTCAAAATGCGACATTAAATCCTTTTAAAAAGCTGTCTGTTTCGGCTACACCTTCCCATTTTCTTCATGCTGGCCTCAAAATCTGCCAACTTGTCAATTGCAGATATCAGTCTGACGCATATTCTCTAGACCTCTGCTTCTGACACAATGATGTGTCATCAAAACTTTGCCTTCAAAGATGTGGCGACCTTTTTCTCATCTGATCGATATTTCCAGAAGAGGTTTGTTTTGAGAACGACGTCATATGTTTCCGGCCACGTCTTAGACTTTATGCTTGCCTACGATGTCAGTTACATCCCACACAAGAACCTTCTATTACAACTCATATTCAAGCAATACAATTTATTTGAGGGGTTACTTTTTGGGTGGGTCGGTATTTATACGTTATAAGGGTGAAATGGTTTTAGGCAAATGTATGTAAGAGGCAGAAGGCGTGCTACAAGCTATTGTAGTTTTGGCCAAGAGATATATACATAGCACGCAGGTAAAATTGATGGGCGATAATACCTAGTGGGTCTTGAAGGATCATTGAAATGAAGATGATTTAAAAGAGGAAGAACCTTTTGAATTGAACAGCATTGAATTATGAATACGGC